GGTCATACTATTTGCCATTCCCTTTTTACAGCGAAAGAAACCAAATGATCATCAAACCGAAGTGAATGTTGAAGCATCTTAAACAACAAGAACTTTAATTATTGCTATAGATTTTGTTTTCATCTGTGTATATATGATTCAATCATAATTAATGCTCATTAATAAAACCATTAAATATTTACAAACATCAATATGTCTGATAATCGATCAAATATGACAAAAAATATTGTTGACAATATCAAGAATAAGAAAGATATTTGAATGGAAAAAAATACTACAACCATCTATGAATATTCAACAACAATCAATAAAATAAATGTGGAACCCTATTAGACCACATTAACAACTTCTGAACTAATGAAATTTTTTTTGTGAAAAAGAGCAATGCCTGAACTACCAATTTTGTATAAAACGTATTTTTCCAGAACAAATCTGAGACGAAGGAAAAGCCAAAAAACCGCACACCTATAAAAACATTCTCGCAAGTTTATCATCGGATAACATCATTTTCTATATTCTGCTAGCTATTTTATATTAGAAGATGAATAAGAAAACACGTTCAATGATGATTTTTGTAGTAGAAATAGTGCTCTTTCCAATGACGTATTGGAAGGTAAATCTACTCTTGATTTCTATACTAAAATATTACTTTCACTGGGAGAGATTGAACAATTCAGGCATTCTCAATACCTCGTCGTTCAGCAACGGTAACAAATATTTTGGAATTAGTTTCGTCCTGCTAAGTTTGTATAATTTGACATACTTCGAATAAATAACACAAAAAGTTTCATTCATACTTGGATTTTGGAGACTATGACTGATAGTTTTATTATTCAGTTATTCATTTCTGATATTCACTTGAAAATGATTATTCATACGTTATCATCACATGTAATTGGTACCAAAGGATGGTTAGTATTCTTCACATCTGTATTTATGTTCACTGAGTTGTACAAATAATGATCTGTCTTTTATTAACTATGGCTCTTTTTCAACAACCGCCATACAATATCACTTCGAAATATTACTCCAACTCATGTATTATTTAGTGAATGGTAATTTATTAAGAAATGTGAATGATTAAATAGCTTGATTACATAGAAAAATTTTATGATTCAGTTCAAAAAAGAAAATGTCATTCTGTCTATATCGATTAATAAAGCTCAGCACTATTGAGATAACCAGTAGTACCATATCCACCGACAACTAATACTTTTCCATTTGCTAATATGGATGCTGTGTGAAAACTTCGTGCGATACTCATGTTTGCTATGGTTGTCCAAGTGCCTATTGATGGATTGTACAATTCAGCACTATTGGGAGAACCAGCACTACCAGATCCACCAGTAACTAATACTGATCCATTTGTTAAAATGGATGCTGTATGATAAAATCGTGCGACATTCATGCTTCCTGTGGTTGTCCAAGTGCCTGTTGATGGGTCGTATAATTCAGTACTATTAAGAGAACCAGGACCGTTGGTTCCACCAGCAACTAATACTAATCCATTTGCTAATGTGGATGCTGTGTGATGATATCGTGGGGTATGCATGTTTCCTGTGAGTGTCCAAGTACCTGTTGATGGATTGTACACTTCAGTACTATTGAGAAAACCACTGTTGCCCTGTCCACCAGCAACTAATACATATCCATTTGCTAATATGGATGCTGTATGCTCATATCGTGCGGCATTCATGCTTCCTGTGGTTGTCCAGATGCCTGTTGATGGATTGTACAATTCAGCACTGTTAAGAATACTATAACCGCTGCCCTCTCCACCAGCAACTAATACTAATCCATTTGCTAATGTGGACGCTGTGTGATAATATCGTGCGACATTCATGCTTCCCATGGTTGTCCAAATGCCTGTTGATGGATTGTATAATTCAGCACTATTGAGATAAGCAGTACCGTTGTATCCACCAGTAACTAATACATATCCATTTGCTAATATGGATGCCGTATGAATATATCGTGCAAAATTCATGTTTCCTGTGATTGTCCAAGTGCCTGTTGATGGATTGTACAATTCAGTACTATTTAGATAAGTACCATTCCATCCACCAGCAACTGATACTAATCCATTTGCTAATGTGGATGCTGTATGCCAGTCCCGTGCAAAACTCATGTTTCCTGTTGTTGTCCATCCTAAATAACATAAGAAAATGGAAAAAACTATTCTTGCAAAAATATTAATTCAGTCATATAGGGTAGGTGTAGATCTATCTTTCCTTTAGCAACACCCACAATCTTTATGTGAGTAATAAATAAAAACAGAGCATTTCTTTAAATCAATAACGTATATCACTCATGCAAGATCGAGTGAATTCTTATTTGGGATAATCATCGTTGAAATAAATACAAAACATCTAGTATACTACTGACCTGGTACTGCTGTTGTTGTTGAAGATGATGATGTTGTTGATGATGATGATGAGGTGCTTGATGACGATGACGATGATGATGAAGGTGATGTTGATGTAATTTGATCTATAGTAGCAAAATGACATTAAAAAAAAGACACGAGAATTGGGATAAGGCTTCGCCCAAAATTCTGCATGTTTCGTTCTACTAATAGTGTATCTGATTATGAATGCATTCTGATAAACTTTACATAACTTCAAATACTTTTATAAACCCTACGTTTTTATATGAGAATATGTTGAATATATATTATAATATAATTTGTATGACAAAGATATATGCCATTCAAAAGCAAAACTATAATATTTTGTAATATTTATAATATACGTACTCAATGCTATGTATACCGCTGATTGATTCATAAATATCAAAGAAGAATTCAGATTAAATGCAACTAAAATCGAACTGTCATTTGTAGAAAATAATTGACAAGTTTGATTTATTGAAAAATAATTTAATGTTGATATTATTCCATTTGAATTGATCATTTCACATATACACTGACTTTGCGTTATATTCCATAATGATTTATATATATTACCAATTAATATATTATTATCTCTTTTACCAATAAGAATACAATCACCAGTAGAAAATACCAGTAAAACAAAAAATATCCAAAACATCTTTTGTGACTTGTTGTTTTAAAATTGTTTTACAAATGTTTTAGTAACTAGCATTACTGCTTCTCTTTTGTTTTTCATTTTCTGCAGCTCTCTCGTTTAATATTTAATCACTGCAAAAAAAGGTGCTGTAGAGTGTTTATCAGATTTCTGGGAAAAAACAACCAGTCATGCCTATTCCATATACAAAATGAGTAGAAGAACAACAAGAAAAAATAATTTGTATAGAAAAGAAAAAAAATATTCTCTTAGTTTCTTTGACCATTTATGAAATTGAAATGGTCACCATCAAATAAAGAAAAGAAAAAGAAACAGTTTTTTTTGTATATATGTAATGGCTTTTTAAAATTAAGTTACCTTCAGAATGCTCATTCAATATTATGAAAGAAAGAAAGTAAAAAAATCTCATAATTAACGGATTGCTTTAACTAAACATTAAGCATCACATGTGTTTTGTGCAATAGAATGTTGTAGAAAATGGAATGCTTTTTTCTCAGTATTTCAAATGTAATTAGTCATCGGCGTTGCCATCAACAATAATTACATGAATTTGTTCGAATATCAAACTTTTGCCTTTGTTCAATTTTGTCAAAACATATGAGATATTATTTTGAATTCATTTGAGGATGCAGATGTGAGTGATATATCATTACGAAATATCTCTAAGAATATGAGAATTATTATCTTGCTCACGATTAGTTTGATTGTAAAATCAATTTCTACTGTACTATACTATTGAAGAAGATACTGATAGATGATCTTTTTGAAAGAATTGATTTACTAATTAGAATAAAGGATAAGTGGGAAAAGAAAATGCATTGTAGAGTTCATAGATCATTGTTAATCTTCGATAGCAAGCTATTCGAGTATTCAATTACCATCGATATCTAATGTTCATGTATTAAATATCAATTGAAAATAATAAAACTTGTTTCCGTGTCAGTAAAATTCTATTAGAAGAAAAATGTCTCATAAATCTTGTTTGCATATTATTGAATATTTTGTTAATTTCTTATTTAAATCTTGCATTCTCAGTGGTTCACACATTGCAATATCAATTATTTTGATGATGACCGTTGTCACTTATCGGGATCAAAAGAAATACAAATTTGAACATTAAAACACACACTATATTATATATGAAAGTATTGATTCTGTTTCACAATCACTTCCATATATATGTACATATATACAGATATTGTATTCATCTAATACGGATGAGTTTATCAATGGTATGAACTATTCTTTAATATTGGAACAGAAAGAATAATTCATTCTATTTATAAAATAAACTTTTTCTCTTACTATTCGTCTATGTTTCTGTTGAGTATGTTTCTTTCTTATCTAACACAACGAAACTGTGCTTGTTCAGACATAATAATATAACCGCGAAGGTCTTTTCTACAATACATATCTTTTCAATATGTATTGTGTACCTTATCAGTGGGTGTTACTGCTCATATTATGTTCTCAACAAGAATAGAGTTTCAAAAGATACATTTTCTTTTTCAGCAGTTTTATTTCGCTTTCAAAAAAGTGGATATAGAAAGTATGATTTCTTTTTCATGTCTTCAAGGTTTTTTCTCCATTGTTGAAGCCTAGGATGACTTGTTGGTAATGATTGTTGTTCAATTTGTACAGCAAGTTCATAATAAGAAAGTGCTTTTGGATAATCAGCCATGTTCTTATACACCAAACCGATGTTGTTATAGGAATCTCCTAAATCAGGATGATTGGAAGGAAGTGATTGATGTCGAATTGCAAGAGCTTTTTCATAATAAGAAAGTGTTTTTTGATAATCATCCATATTGTAATACACATTACCAATGTTGTTATGAGACATAGCTAAATCAGGATGATTGGAAGGAAGTGATTGTCGTCGAATTGTAAGGGCTTTTTCATAATAACAAAGTGCTTCTTGATATTCTCCTTGAGTATATTTGGTTCGACCTAGTTGATGATAAATATTTGCCTTGTCGCTCTCATTTGCTGCTTGATGAAGTAAAACTTTATAAATTTCTTGAGCTTTGGTAAATTGGCCCATTTTAATTAGTAATAGTCCCAATCTGTACCACCCTTCTTCGTCTGGAAAGGTCTCCTGACGAATCTGATCGCTAAGATCTCGCAGATCTTGATCGTTGTTGTTGGTTAATGTTAGATTCACTTGATAGAGATGATTATTTCCATCCATTGGTCGAATATCTCCAATACGAAAAATGGTATGCATAGAGAAGAGAACTTCATCTTCTGTATGAAAGTAACTAACATGACTAACAGAAGCAAATGGAGTTGTTGAAGTAATTGACATAACAAATAGTATTCCAACAAGATCAGGATTTATAGCAGTTTGTGGAGCGAAAAAGAGAGAAACATCACGATTTCTACTAGTCGATAAAAAGTTATTAAATGAAAGAAGTCCACCTTGAGTTCTTGTCATTTCTGCGAAATCTTCTTTTGAAAGACATTGTCCACGATAAACTGTAATTGTTTTACCAGATTGTTGACCATCAAATTGTTCCGAATGGAGTCGTTGAATATCACGATGTAGATCATTAATAAAGAAACCCATTCGAACAATAATATCAGCATTCATTAATCTTAATGCTTGATTGAGCATCGAATATAAAAAATATTGAGAAGTATACCACCAAATAGGTGTTTGATCATGATAATCACGTTCCAGTTTTGTAACATTATCTAGTTCATACTGATTTTCGACAAATACATCACGACAGTAATGAATATATTCTTTGATGTGTTTCTGTTCGAAATCGATGGTTAATAAGATCTCTTTCAAGATCTGAGTATACATAAAGGATGGATTTAATTGATCCAACTTTTTGTTTGGTGCCACAAAGCTGATTGAGATGGCATTTTGCTCACATTGATAAGCAGCTTGTTTCAGTGCTTCACAGATTAGTATCATATCAGTGAAGACTCCTTTTATTTTGGGCCATTGTCTGGTCCATTGTTTATGCCATTCTTGGTTGCTACAAGAAATGAAAATAGTGTCTACTTGCGACATGTCATGTACACGAGGCACAGTATGTTTCCCAAGTGAACCAGAAACAATCATACATATTTTGTTGTTGGTGATGGTTTGAATATATTCAGTACATTCTTCACCATCTGTAAACGTGTTTATGTGGTTAACTACACGTTTCAATTGTTTGATTGTATCACTACAATCAGCATTATTTTCATTAATAGTGTTGTCTAACCAAATAAGGAGGGTATTTTGCATTCTTTGCATGTTTATACATCGATTTGCAGTTGCACTCGTGGAGACACCAGATGTTGAGTGAACATTTTTTGTGTCACTTGATTTGCTGGTTGTCATTGACTGCGATTATTTGTTATTTATAATATGAATGTGTTGTATTTGAGTAGCTTGAAAAAATTTGTGAAAGAAAAAATTATGAAAGTTGCTCATTTTATAAGGTCTTTATTTCTTATCTGGATTTTTTGTACTTTTCAATTTGATGACAATACCTTTTTCGTTAACGATTGTATATGTTGTTATGAGAAACAAGGAAGATCAACACAGATATACATTACTAATAAAAAAGAACGCAAAAGAAACGGTTAAATATTTTTTCGATTGTTGGTCACTAAAATGATCCGCGAAAACAAATTTTACGACGTATTTGATGAAGATAAAAAGAATCTTCAAGAAACTTTTTTCGTTCTACTCTTCTTTTTGATGTTGTTGAAGATTCTAACGTTGGAAATTGTTTTATTGTCGTATACATCGAAGTTTGTAAAAAATGACAAGATATTGCTGTTCAAACACAAATCACTTATATTATTTCATTTCTATGGTCAGACATAGTGTCTTTAATACTGAATGAGAAAATACCATGTGTCATGAATAACTTTACTATATAAAATTATTGTATGATATACTGATCTTTTTAATAGCAACATCTTAAGTGAAACATTCTTTTCTCAAATTTCTCAAATTGGAGAATAACCCATTGGCATGTAATGATATTGTCATACAATTTTGATTTTTATATGTAACCAAATTTTTCTGCTTAAGTTAAAGCAATAAAGAGAACGCAATTTATTTATGAACAACCATTCTCTTCACTATATATGTCAGTAGAATTCAAATTAATTCTTTTATCAAATTATTAATATAATCGTACATTCAATTGTACATTAGTGTATGTTTTTTATTTTTATAATATCTTCTATCTGCGCATTGTATAAAGTATATTTGTATTTTATCATGAGATTATGTTTATGTTGCGCTTCAAGCTAGTAATATTTACAAATGAAAAATATATGATGACCAGTATTCTTTGAATCTAAAATATACAGTAAAACGAAGCTATATTGTTTTCGATTTTGTATTTTTGAATGGTTTGAACCAATTATTAACATAAATCGTGCCGTTGTTTTAGGAAATAAAATAAAATAAACATATGTTGAAAGAACACTTATGATTCATTATCTATCATCAGCTACACATTAAGCTATAGAACATTTGTTAGAAGAAAATAGCGCCTAACTTTTGCTCTTGCTTTTTCTTTTTTAATTATATCGAAATATGAAAAAAATAAGTCCATAGTTAAAATCGGAAAGCGAATGATATCAGTTCGATATTGATACATTCATTTCGCGTTTAAACGAGTATTTCTGATTCGTTGCTCGTACAACGCGAAAACTCTATCAATTAAAAGGTTATATTAATTCTATATATTAGAACTCATTAAGATGTGTATAAAATAATTTTTGTAATTAACTATTTCAAAACCATAATGAAGATTCTGATCGATATTTTAAAAATATCTTATTTTACTCATTATATTTATTTCATGTAATTAATATACAAGTACAGTTTATTTCGAAATAATAATATTATTCACTCAAGTATAAAAGAAAAATTATGTCTATTTGTCTCAAAGGAAACTACTTATTGAACAATCTAAAAAAACCTTTTTTCTGAAAGTCTAAAATCATTTATTTGCATGTTATTCTTTTAATAGTGAGAAAGAGAAAGTTCAGTAAACAATATAAGTATGATATGCAAAGTTCATTTCACTGAATTAAAAATTAACTGAGAATAAACAATTTAACAACTAAAATAATTAGCTCGTATACCAATAAGACATTTAATAAAAAGATGTCATGCACGACTTCTAGTAAATTCATTTATCCGAAACTAAGCATTTCAATTTTCCTTTTAGCATGTAATAATTTTAATTCATTGGCAGGAACATATCATTTCCCTTAAAATACTCACCATTACATAACTCTAACGACATTTATTTAAAATGAGAATACAAGTTTAGTTAAAATTAAAAAAAAATGAGTAACATTTTTGTATTTATACATCTTGTAACATATGTACAAATTCTTCATAACTTATTTTTCCATCATGATCTGTATCAATTTCATATAAAACTTCACTTATTCGTCGTTCACTTACATCATGATTTAAACGCCTTAAAACTTCACGTAATTCAGATACAGTAATATAACCTATGAAAGGAAAATCTTAGAAAAAGAAAATTTATTAACAAATTTTTTTTTACCAGAATTATCTGCATCAAAACATTTGAATGCATTTCGCATTTCATCATCAGTAAATTTTCGTTCATAAACAGTTCGCATTGCTTTAACAAATTCATCAAATTCAACTAAATATAATCCCAATAATAATTAGAATATACAAAAAAATATTACTTGAACCATTTCCATCTGCATCCATTTCTTTCATTACTCTTCGAAGTAAATTATCTGTAGGTTCAAAATTTAATGCAATTAAAACTTGTTTTAATTCTGCGGACGATATCGCTCCACTTTTATCTCGATCAAATAAATCAAATGTATCACGTAATTCTATAACATTACAAAACATAAATCAATCCTATTCGTTTTTATTGATTACCTTCCATCTGCCTATTGGACAAAAAACCTGGTTTATTCTATAAACATATTCTTTAATTCGAAATACTATTATAAATATATATTTATACTAACCGACATGTGATATATTGAATTAGTTAAAAAAAACTTTTTGTAAGGGAAGAAGAAAAGACCAAACGGACGGAAAAATGCTGGAATGAGTTGTGTTAAAACGTGAGTTGTTATAATAAATATTTGATGAAAAAAAACTCTTTTTTTTCTCTTCATTCCTGACGCTGTCAATGGTTGCTATTAGATATCGACGACAGATTACATATCAATAAATAAATATCCAGGAAAATTTTATTAAGAAATTTCTTTTTGGAGATATGACATGATTGATTGACATTGTGTTTTCGATTGATTATGACATATAAAATATTTACATTCCTGATCTCGACATTCATTTATTAGCAAAACTATTGACAAAAATTTTCCGGATAGGCAAAATTCGTATAACGGTTTTTTTATTCGAATGTTCTACTTAAGATCAGTTGAAATACTATTTATCATTCATATTTCAATACATCACAAGTATATTAATTGTATTTAATCTAATAAAAAAATGTAAGCCTGATCATTTTTATTTATCTAATTCTAAAATGTTTTCCATTGAAATATAAAATAAATATTTTCAAGTACTTTTATGCATATCCGATACAAATGTCTACAAAAAAACATAATCATATTTTACAGTAAAACAAAACAAGGTTTACTTTCAAATAGTTCATTGGTATTTCAGGACATTGATTAAGTAATATTTCAAGATTAACTGTTGATAGATCGACTGTTTTTAAACGTTGTAAAACTAATTGAGCACTAAATTAGAGAGAAATATTTGTAATTGATGAGATATTTTATGAAAGAAATTTTACCTAATACTATTTAGAGATGAACATCGACGAAGTAACATTTTTTCATTCTAAATTATCAATAGAATAAAATAAAAGACATACAGCTAATCATTTTACCCATGATGGTGTTGGAGTTAAAAGATATTTTATTGAATGTTCTTGTTGGACTAATTGAGCTACATGATTAGCAAATTCATCAAGACTACCAAATGATTTGATCTATTGATATCGAAAAAGAATATATGTATATATAGATATATCAATAAATACTTGAATATCAATATTAGATTCATTTTCTTGAATTTGTTTAGCTAATTGAGTTATTGGTGTAATATATGTTGAAAGAATAAAATCAGGTATTGATCTATACAAGAAAAAAGAGATGCTACCCTGTGAAATTATTATTTAATAAAACATACCCACTGGTTAGTATAGCCACATGAATACGACATGAATGAAGAGTCATTGATTGAATCTAATAATATAATAGACAAATAAATTTCAATTAATATTTAACTTGTATCAAATCATACCTTATGTCGTACTGTATTAATATCAAGTTTTGTATTTAAATCAAAGATTAACATTGAAGTAGTCCAATCAATTAAAATATCTGGTTGTTGATCAATTGGAATACCAAGTAAATGATAATCTCGTGTAATAATTGATATATCATGTCTAAAATTTTATTATTTAGATCAACACTAGTCGTATCGACAAATGGTTATTTTATATTTAACTTACCGACATTCGAGTGTTCGTAATAATTTAAAATTATCAACTAATGGTCGAGCTAAAACAATCGTTGGTAATGTTAAGAATTCTTCTTTCATTATTGGTGAAGCTATTTTTTGTGTAATTTCAATGAATTCTTCTTTTTCTATATATATAAATTCAATTTAAAATTATTTCTATCATCAATATCAGAGACAAACCTGGAGCTATAAATGAAGGTAAAATAGTTTTGTAGGCAATATAAGAAATAATTTGTTGTTGACAAAATTGATACCATTGTAAAATTTGTTCTCCATATTCATATTCAATAACTAATGTTAATCGTTTTGGTCGAACAATAATTGTTGATGAAATTTGACGTGTACGAATAATAATCATATTATTATACATTAATCTTTTTATTATATAACAAAAACACTTTAAAAGAAAAACAAATGGTAAGTAATAACTTACAAATCATTGAATTCATCTCGATTAATATTAGTTTGTTTATCATAAACATAACAATGAAGTTCAATAAGCGATGAAAGACCACGTTCAATGTCATGTAAAAGATCAATTGATTCATATTGAACAAGGAGAAGAAACTTTGAAAAAAAAATGTTTTTTGTTAATTGAAAAAAATGTTTTCTAAACATAGAACTGAGTGATAGCTTATCTCTCCCAGAGAGACTCGAGACTTTGATTTCGAAATAAATTAATATTTTACTTTTGGTTCAAATATTTGTTTTGTAGTATCGATTAATTGTCTTCGTTTATCAAAAAAATCTTTAAACAAATGTTTAATATGTAAAATTTTTGGATGAGGAATATTTTCAAATTTTTGATGAGTTTTTGTTAATAAATCAAATAAAGGTTTTCCACGTTCTTGATCTAATAATTTCAGAAAAAAAGGAAATTAATATTTTCAAAAAAAGAAAATTTTGATTTTACAAACCAATGCAAACATTTTTCATATTTTGTACAATTACATTTTCAACATGACGTATAGCCGTTTGTAAGGAACAATAAGCAAATACATAAAGAAATGATGTTATGGTATAAATAAACATTAAATGTTTAAGAATATCACTTCGATTCGAAATTAAATTAAATGAATTATCATTTTTACAAATAGTTTTTATTAATTCAAGAGAAATATTTGGTGATGTAAAATTATGTTCTTGTGGCCATATATTTTCTTTACATAAGATTTTATGATATGGTAATAGAAAATGAAGTAGTTCTTCATGAACTTGATTAAATTCATCTAATAAGTATTTAAAAGAAAATTTTTGAATAATACAAAGAAAAATTAATAAATACCATTTTCAAGTCGAATTTCAATGATTGATATGTTTGTTGGTTGAGATTGTATAGGCTTTGATGGTAACACAAACAATTTCGTTTTATTTAAAATTATATAAACATCTCTCATTATAATTTGTCTTTTGTATACCTTCTTCATTTGGTATCGACATTGGTTTAGTATTTGTCATTGTTTGTTGCATAGAAAAACGATCAATACGTTTTTGTTTATCATTATTTGTTCGTTCAAGTTTTTCTAATAATTCAGGATTTGATTCTTTCATAAAATCCCATAATGTATCTTCATTTGTTTTATTTTCTGTTTGTATAATTGATGGAGATGTAACAATTGTTGTTTTATTCTTTTTTGCTATATGTAAATCACTAAGAAATGCATCTTTCCAATTAATATTTTCAATAGATTTTGATGGCATATGTGAAATATCTTTATTTAATTCTATTGATGGTGTTGCAAGTGAATCAAAATCAAATTCAACTTCAAATGTTGGTCGAACAGATGGTGGACGTGATAATGTTGGTGTTAAAGAATTATCATCAAGAATAGGAGCAAAACGAACTCGTTTTGTAGGTTTTTTTATTTCTGATTTAGAATTATCGCTGGATACTTCATAATCATCAAATAATTGTTCATAATCAATATCATCATCATCTTCAATTTGTATTATTGGTAAACAATCACTATTCATTGAATGTTGCTCACGAGCAGCAGCCTAGAAAAATATATTTTCGAAAAAAACCCAATTTAAAAATTTCTTTTGTTCTTACTCGTTTAGCATAATCAATATTTAAAAACATATAATCTAGAAAAACAAATGTTTTTTCAATTTATTTATTTCATACAAGTCTCAATTTCATAGTAAAACAAAAGTAAAGAGTTTATTTATTTCGAAAAAAATTTAATACCACATTGTTTGAATTATCAACCATATGTTTATCACCAATTGCTTTCATTTTATAATTGATCGGTGAAAATAAATGAACCTAAAGAAAAATTTGAATTTAATGTTTTATTTTTATTCATATAATTATTTACAGTTTCAGCTGGTGTAAAATATTCGAATATAAGTCGAATTATTTCAATAGGTAAATCGTTGAATGATGTCATTAGTTCTTTTACGAAGAATATAATATAACTGAAAACGGAATAATGAATTTTTCAAATATTCCGCATTATTTTTAGTGACATCTATAATAGTTAAAGACATGGTTGCAATGATACTGATTACAAAATGAATATTCTCATGGTTGTTGGATAATCTATTATGAATATTTTTTAGTTTCAATTAATCAATGGATCAATGTAAAACACTTTATTATGATTATTGTAAAACTTATGATGTTGAACCAAATGAAACAATTTTAGGCGAAATTCAAAAGTACTTAATTCAATTTTTGTTTTTATTTTCGATCAAAAAATTTTATTTTTATTTTCAGAGTTTCTAATGGTGATAATAATCCAACAAAAAGTTTCAATTTATCTTCATTAAGTATTCCCGAAGCACAATTTGTAGTCTTAGGAAAATTATTTACACATGATTGTTTATTTACAAGTATTCATCTTAATGATTGTAATTTAACAAGTGAAGGTAAAAAAAATTTATTAATAAATAATTTCATTGAATTTTTTCTTAAAAAAGCTTTACAAGCTTTTCTTCATGGATTAGTAAAGAATACAACTTGTAGAACATTAGAATTAAAAGTAAATAATAATAGACTGACGTATTTTTTACATACGATTTATAATATATATAGGGAAATAGTATTCATGGAGCTGGTACTGAAGCATTGGCACAAGTATTACGAAGAAATCAAACATTACAAAAGTAAGTAGATGTTTTGACAAGGGGTAAACAACAGAGACTTCATGCCTGAAGTCTCATGAAGTCTTATGAAATCTCATGAAATCTTCTGAATTTCTATAGATACATTTATTTCACGGGGAGACGAGGGAGGAACAACGGAGACTTCATGCATGAGGTCTTGTAAGTCTCTTGAAGTCTTCGAAATCTCTTAAAGTTTATGAAGTCTCTAAAGTCTATGTAGTCTTCTGAAATCTTTTGAAGTCTTTCGAAAAAATGAAGTCTCTTGAAGTCTTTAAAATCTTGAAGTCTGCTGTTACCCCCTTGTGTTTTGATAAATAACTGACAATTACTTCAGCTTTTTTTTCACTAATTATATATATCAACAAGAAGAAATCATTCAGTTTGTTTTTGCATGTACTTGAATTCAATTAATATTAATCTTGTTTAGTTTACGACTTGAATGGAATCAAATCGGTGCGATGGATACGTCAGCTTTTACTAGTTTTTGTGATGCACTTGGAGTTAATAAAGCTTTGATTGAACTCGATTTACGCAATAATGATATTAGTCATGTTGGTGCTACAGAATTAGCGGCAACATTAAAACGAAATGTAACACTACGTATCTTAGGTACGTCTTATATAAATATATACTTATTATAATTTAATACGCATTCGTAGATCTTCGTTGGAATAATATTGGAGCAGTTGGTAGTCGCGCTTTATTAGCTTCCTGTCAATCAAATTCAACACTTAATGAATTGCATTTAGCTGGTAATAATATACCTGATGATGTTATACAAAATATAAGTAAATAATCTATTGTTCTACAATCTAAACAATCATTTTATTTGAATTATAGATAATGCTCTAGCAAAAAATACCGAAAAACGTCAAGTACATTTTGGACATTCAAAAAATATGGCGGTACTTGCAAGACAATTACAAGATGCACACACGGAAAAAGATCGACAGATGACAAGTGTACTTACACGTGTGTCTTTACAAGAACAAGCAATGCTTAAAGCAAATAAGTAAAAGAAAAAAACAGGAAAGTATTCTCCTTCATAGTATTAATCAATTTGTTTTCATAGATCATTAGCTACGAAAATTAAAAAAATGCAAGAAGCATTGGATGATCGTAAATTAGCATTCAATGCTTTATCAGCAAAAAATGCATTACTTGAAGCAGATCTAACTGTAGCAACACAACAACATAATGATGCACAAAATGAAGTTAAAAAATTACAGATTGAAAAAGATCACCTAAAAAAACTAATTCATAAAGAATATAAAAAAGAAAAAGATGTAAGTTATCATTTTTCTAATAAATATTCATAAAAATACTGAATTTTCTTTATTTAATAGGAATTAGTCCATACTCAAGCAAAACTTGAACGAGATTTACTTGAAAGCTTAGAAACACAACGACGTTTATCTGAAAAGATCCATGATTTTGAACGAAAAACTGAAAATCTTCAGACAACTATACATGAACTTCGAGAAACGGTAAATCATTATTTTCATTATCTTACATATATATATGAAATCTTTTGTAGTTAACAAAAACTGATCGTGATCATCATGTAAAACTTTCAGCATTGGATACTGAAAATCAAGGTTTGAAATCTAAACATAAAGAAGATTTAAAAGATTGTGAATTAACCAATTCACGAGATAATCAACGTTTAAAAGAATCTTATGAAACTACACAACAAAATTTAAAAGAACAAATAACAAAACTTGAAAATATTCGAACAACACTTGAACGAGTAAAATTGAATTATATATTTCTTAATTAATTCTTTGTTCTTTATAAGGAAATAAATTCTTTAAAATCGAATATTTCAACACAAAAATTAAATCATGATGAAAATTTACAACAAGAAAAAATTCGAATAAAAAATGAAGATGAAAAAATACAACATGAACTTGAAGATCGTTTACGTTCATTAACAACAACAAAAGAAGATCTTGAAGTAAGAAAGGGGGTGATCGAAAAATCATGACTTTTTCCGCGCGCTAGAAGTATCATAATACGAAAGTCCTCGTCACCTAGATCATGAATCTGATATCCGTTTGTTTAGATCTGATCGCTTTTTTGTCGATTTTTCCCGTAAAGGGGTTCCTGTGTCTCAGTAGGGTAGTTCCATGAGATTTCAAACTCAAACACACAAAGTATTCAGAAAATGTTTTTTTCGCTGGTCATTTTCGTATAAGGAAGTTTTGAATTCTATTAAGGAATAGTGACGCTATCGTTAAAATAAAAAACATAGTAAAATAGCTTAAAATCCAATATTTTTCCTCATAAAATACAGGAAAAAGTCGAGTCTTAAATCTCGAACCGACTATATTCTCAAGAAATATGTCATAGTAGGTTTTGTAGAGAAAACTATGCCCTATAAAACTTACTATGTCATATTCCTTGAGAATACAGTCGGTTCGAGATTAGAGACTCGACTTTTTCCTGTATTTTATGAGGCAAACTATGGGATTTTAAGCTATTTTAATATGTTTTTTGTTTTGATGATAGCGTTGTTATTTCTCTATAGAATTCAGAACATTCTTATACGAAAATGATCAGCGAAAGACGCTCTACAAAGTTTGGAGGAAAAGAAAATTTTTTGAATACTTTGTGTTTTACATATCATGGAGCTACCTAGTACTAGACTCAGATACTTACCCATGGAAATCGCTGAAAAAAAGAGGATCAAATCTAGATAAACGGATGTCAGACTCGTGATCTATGTGACAGGGACTTTCGTATTATGATATTTCTAGCGTGAGGAAAAAATCATGATTTTCGATTACCCCCTGTAATTATCATAATATTTGAATTTCTTTTTATATTTTTCAAGTCTCGTTATAACCAACAATTAATATCGAATCGAGAGTTTCAACAAAAAATCAATTTTCAATCTGTCGAAATTGAAACATTAAAACGACAAATTGAATCCGTTCAAACAGTAAACTATTTCTTAATAAAAAGATTATTCATAAATTATTTCCTTTTAGTCAAATCTTAGTAAAGATACAGAATTTCTTGAAAATCGTGAAAAAATCAAAACTGAATATGAGAAAAAATTACGTTTAATTCAAAAAGATATTGATATGAATGAAGAATTAAAAGATCGTAATAGACAATTGGGAAGTGAAATTAAAGGTAAATAAATAAAAAAAGAGCAGATTTGTTTTTGTTAATTTTTTATTATATTTATAGATCAACGTTATAATGATCGAAATACAATACGTGAACTTGAAACACGTCTAGCTGATTTACAAACAAAATTTAATCAACGTGAACAAGAAATTAGTCAATTAAAACATAATGAAGAAAAGCGCTTACAATTTTTACGTACAGCTATGTTAGATTATATTGGTCGAGATACAAAATTAAAATAGATCATTTCGTTTCTTTTATATGTACAGCTAGTTTGTATTTTTCTTTGAATTTAATTAGAATAAAGACTAGATATTTAATCTATTAAACTCTTTCGACTTGGCGAAGAATTGATATTATTCATTATTGATGAATGACTAATAATTCGATTGATTTCATCTTGCTTGTGAATTGATTTTCGTGTTGCGTACATTATACAAACAAATAGAGCTAATAATATAATACAACAACATCCACAAATAATAAAAATACCTATTAAGAATATTCTATCATTATTTCTTTCTTGTTCATACAATGCTTTTTCATCGTCTTTTATATTAAATGGATCCCATATTGATGTTGTTGTAGATATAATATTACGTTGCATACGTTGTTAATGGAAGTATAACTTGACTAAAAGAAATTTTTTCTAATGTATTACAAATTAAGAATTTTCGAGCAATTGTATGTTTATCATATTTTACTCAACGTACTTAGAACGAACTGATGAATATAATAGTAATCATCCTGGTGATAATGATTGAATCTATTGTAAATTCTACAACTACAATTTGTATTGATTCAATAGACACTCATCACATACAATGTAGAAGAAGTATAATTATCACTTCAGAATATATACAAATATAGAAAATATCTATATGATAAGTAAAATAACGATTCATCTTTCTCTGTTTTTCATTCGGAAGTCGTATTCAGTTATCAAAAGTGTTAATACTAAAGACACAACTAATTAAAACACAATAACCTTATCAACATCTCTTTCTATCGATACTTATGAGTCATAATACATATATATATACACATTACTCGACAGCACATCATATGAAGGATCAAGTGTCATTTACTCATCATTGTTTTTATAAAATTAAACTATTACAAATAACTACTCAAGTTTTAAATGTAGCAATCTTTCTAGTACTTCATAATGATTGTTTTATTAAAACTCATCGATGTATAAAAAACTTTTAATATTAATATTTTCAAACTACTCAATGACATATTGTCTTTCTACTTGAATCACCTCTTAACATAAGTACTGATAATTAAAATCATCAAGGATCATACTTAACCTTTGTTTTACTCGATGAATTTTTTTATTATGAAAAATAAAAGATTTATGAAAGAAAAAGGTTATTTTCTATGAGAATTTATTCTTACTTTGATTTGTTAATTGAAAATACATTATTGTCAGTAGTGCGCGCTTTACGAGATTAATTTCTTCTATGACTAGTACTATTAAACATGTTGGTTTGGTAGATATTAATGATAATGATAGTGGAGAAGGATTGATACTAGTGATTATTGTAACAGGTGCATTTTTAGTGATAATATTAGTAACATGTGGGATTATTATTTATTATTATTATGTTCATAATGAAAGTAAAAATAAAGAATTATATAAATTAAAACATAATTATCAACGTCAAATCAATAGAAACATATCGAATATGTTAACATCAATGCATAATATAAGTGAAAAACTGGATGAATCAATAACCTGAAAATATATATCATAACGAGTTTTTCTTTTAATCTAATCTTGAAGAATGATTTCTTATGAAATTGAATGATTTTTGAGAGTACTTATCGTATGTAAAAGAAGATCTTTTCAATATAAAATATTTCCGTTAGTTTCAGCTTCATCACTAACAAACGAATACATATTTTTTTTATTTATTTTATAAAAATAACATCTGTTTCTTATCTATCGTAAATTTAATACCGTTCTTTTTCATTTTCCACCGTAAGTATAGCAGGTTGTGTTGCTATATTGGGTATATTTTGTACATTTTCTTCAATATCCTCATCATAATTAAATGCCTGATTTGTAATTACATCTTCCTCGATAATTGCTTTTTTATCCGGAATAAAACGTGTACGAATAGCAAACCATAGTACACCTGTATAACATATTACGAGTGCAATACTAGTAAGAATAACAAGAACAACAATAGCACGTATATCCGCTGAAGTAAAACCATAACTTGTTTGACAAATAGTACATATAGCTGGTATAGATGATATATCAACCGTGTTATTCATCGTTTTCTGTATAACTGCTCTTTCTTTTTTTTTTATGTAACAATGAAGTAAAACTTAAGGCAATATATTATAAGTATAAAACAAGGTCTGCAACTCTCCCCACCCTGTCATTATATATATGTGTGTGAATAATAATCAATATTGCAAGAGAATATGAAGAAAAAAGATGAAGACATAAGGCGAAGTTTGATTTTTTTTTGTGACAAGAAAATAAAATTTTTTATCAAATGTCCTATCATCAAGACATTTATAGAATAAATTAGTTAGATATTTCTTTTATCTTTCTCTCCCTTTCTTCTTCCTGTTTTTTTTATTATTATTTCTGTTTCTTATTTTTCTGCGTAAAAATCGTTTTTGTTGTTATAACCATTCATTAGTCTAAAAAGAAAATAAGTGTAATTTGGAATAAAGAATAAAGATATTATTTGTTTACCCGCTCAATCGTAACGCGTATCAATAGATCCATAAGGAATCTAGAAAAAAAGCAAAAATAGAAAAATTCAGTTTTTATTGATTCTTACATAATATGGACGTTGTTTTTGATAGAATAAACGATATTCTTCTTCGTTATCATCATCACTATTGTCATCAACATCATCATCGTTTACACTTTCTTCGATATCTTCATCAATTGGTAAATCATCGGTATTATATCGTTGTTGTAATTCTAAATTATCGAATGGATTGTTCGATGATTGTAATAAAATAGGATAACGATTGAGTTCATAATCATTTATATTTTCATTTTCATCATCATCATCATCATCATTATTGTATAGTAAACCTAAAGAGATAAAATGATTTTAATAAAAGATAAAAACGATTAATTTTTACCGGAATCTTCATCATTTTCATCATTGATAATATTTGATGAATACAATCGTGGCCATTCTGATGGTTCATAGAAAGATGATGCAAGAGCAGAACGGATATTTCGTTCATAAACATTTGGATACCAATAGAGTGGACTAATATAGAATGCAAAAAAATTTACATAAAGATATTAAATTAATTCTTACGCAAATGAGCGAGCTGGACGAATATATTGTTGTCCTTCAAGTAAATCATCATATGGATTGTAGAGCTAAATTAAAAGAATAGCTATTATACTATCAGAAAACGAAAACCAAATGTATAGATAACAAGATTCGTTCTCTCTTTTTTTTGTAATAACAGATAGAATAATGCATAGGATTGTTATTTGTCAAGTATATAATTGAGACAAGATAAGAAGTGTATAAATTATTAGATAGATGAGAAGAGTTTCAAATGACTTTTTAACATACCGGATCAGTATCATAAAAATCATATGGTGATAAAGCTCGTTTATGTCTTCGATTTGATTCAGTATTTAATTTAATATCACGACGTCGACGTACAATTTCTGTTAATTCACTTGGGGTCATTTTAACATCAGAAAAAATATTTGAATCATCTGTATCGACTGGTTCTAATAATAAGAATTCAAGATAAATTATTATTATGAAAACAAAAAATATTTACTATCTGCATTGTCATGAATTATAGCTGATGTTTCTTGTATTTTAGTATGTAATATATGTTTGATTTGATTATTATTATTGTTGTTCAATTTAACGTCAGATAATTGATAAATACTAGTATCATCATTTTCATCACTTTCACTACCACTATCTAAAAGTCCATCTAATTGATCTTGATCATCATCATTAATGTTACGTTTCTTTTTATTATCATTTTTTTCTTGTTGTGTTGCTAATGATGATGAACTTTCAGAGATAGAAGTCGTTGGACTTGTTGTACTAGTAGTAGAACTAGACGATGATGATGATTCTACTGAAACAACAGACTTTAGAAGTTGTTGTTTAACGACCTGTTTGTCATTTATAGATGGTGGTGTTTGAACGACTATGAAATTTATTTTGAAAACAAAAAATATGATCAAAGATGAAAAATATTCTTACTATCTTCAATTTTCTTTATTGGAACTGATTGAACAACAATTGTAAGAAGTACTAATAATAATCCAGAAATGACAAGAGATATGTGAGATGCCATTTGGGAAATATTTAAGCTAGTTTGTGTTATATTGTTCCACGTCAATTATAATCGTTCTTTTTAAAACTTAGATGGAAACGAGTTCTAGATAATAAAACAAATGTATTTATAGATATCGACGAAGTAAAAACGAGCGAGAGAGAGAGTGAAAAAGAGAAATAAAAAGAAAAAAAAAGAGTTGTCGAGTGCTTGTTGCTGTCACCAGTAAAACTAGAGTGGAGTCAAACGTGCATCAACGTCTTTTTCTTCTTCCTAGTATTACGTTCAACGTCGCTGTCGTTGTCATTCTTTCTCGCGTTTGGAAAAGAATAGGATATTTTCTTTTTTTTCCTTCTTCTTCTCCTCTCGTTATTTATTGCAGAAAAAACTCTTTGAAGCAACTGCAAGACTCAATTTATATGCAGAATGTAATCAAACTCCGAATGAGTGGATGAACGTGTAGGCGGTCTCTCATTCATTGTCGTCTTCTTTTTCTTTATACTCAGAAAAAAAAAGAAACGAGAAATATTCATGCTCGTTTTCTTTCCCATCAGTATTATCATCATGGGAAGACTCAACATAGATTGACAATATAGACCAGTCAATTCTTTTTTTCTTTCTCTAGTAAAAAAAAAGGAGACAAAAACAAAAAACATAGGATAAGATTGTTCTTAATAATATCGAGGGTTAGAATATTGACGAAAAATAATTTACCATATGCCCTCGAATTCCTGTTTTTGATGTTCTCTTTTTGTTATCCTACCTATGGATTCAATATAATTAATCCATGAAAGAGAAAAAAAGGAAATCTTATCATAAGTGTGAAATATACAAACAAGTTGTGTAAATGTTAGTATTAGTTCAATAATCAATGATTCAATTAAAGATGAAATGACCGTTAAATAGTATCCGATGAATTGTTAGATATGAAATGAAAACAATGTAAATATTTTTTAATTATTTATTATCTATATTAGTTTTCTTTTCATGCAATAAATTTTTTTTGAAAGTGTAAAAAGGCTTATATAAATTATTAAATACTCTTAAAGTTAATGTCTTTAATTTTGTAAAGATAAATCACAATCATAAATATAAAAAAATCTAACCTGGATAAACTTCAATTAATATTTTTCATAATATTCAAGGTATGCGTAATTAAAAAACAAACGAAGAATAAGTACTTCATTCAAAAAATCACGAAACAGATGCTAGTTTCCGGCTATTATCATTTTAGATTCACGAAAATCATGAGCAAAACTTGAACTATTACTCAGGAGAATAGATGATGCATATTTTTGTTTTGCATACATTATTTAGATTATCATATATTTGATGAATAGCATTGTGATGTTTATCTTGAGACAAGAAAAAAGCAACAACACATATGAAAATTGTTCCTATATTATTATTAGAAAAAGTAACTTTTTTTTGTGTAATAATACTATGAACATTAAAAAGGAAAAGTCTGATGTAACGATAATTCAATCATGATAAATTCACTTGATGGAATTGATTTAGCTTGAGATGTATATGAACAAATAAGAAAACTCTTATTGAATCAAATAACTTAAATTATAATAACTTCATTAGAGGTTTAATCAAAACGATGATTTCACTATGCAATCTTAATATTCACAAGTGAATAAATTTTTATTTAATACGTAATTAATAATAAAAATAAGCTGAACCTGCTGTGTTCAATTCACACAAAGACAATATGTTCAAGATTGTATGGAAAAATATGTGACTATTTTTGATGAATAAAAAGACATTTCTTAGTTTTTATGTGTAGTTGACAGCCGGAAAAAATAGATATGTTAGAGTCCATTTCATATTTGATGACGTACATATGACATATAATTTACTCATATTTTACAGTAGAAATATTATTACTGAACATACGTTTTTCTTTTAGTCGACATATTTTGATTTTGATTATTAATTTTAATCTTTATGCAAAAATAAATGGAAAAAAAGTTTGTTAAGGACATGATTTGTTTTCTATTTAATTATTAATACCTAGAAAGAAATAATCTGATATTCAATATTAGACATATCATTTCACGCTAGTGCATGTTGTTTTTCACACATGACTCTGGAATGAATAAGTCAAAAATAAAAAATATGATAATTTTTAATATTTTACCATCTGGTTTCTGTTATTTCAATAGTCATAAGTAAATACATTCAAATGTCAAACATTATTGATATGACATAATATCTTTAAACATACTAATCCATTCAATTTCAAAACTCTATTAGTATAATTTTAGAATTTATCAGGAAAGCAAAAAAGTCATTTATTCAAATAATGCTAATTATTTGTTTGTTCTATTTATAAAAATGAATCTTGTAATAAACAAATAATTAACAATTTCTTATTCTTTTATCTATTTCTATAATATGTATATGTATATATACCAAAAGAAAAATACACTCTTACATTATGTAAATCAAAGTACAAGAAAGCAAATCTGAGAGGAGAAGAACAAGAGAGAGAGAAAAGAAAAGTTTTGACTAGTAATATAAACATATATGTATATATACAAATAGATCGTATTAGTTTAAATAAATTCGACATTGACTTGTACCACAATGACAAGGAATTTTAACATCTTCTTCGGGAAATGAATAATCATATGTTAATTCTGATCCACGAGCAATATCTTTTAATGCATAGATAACAATATGTTTACTTCCACCTGATAAAACAGTTTTAGCAAAACAATTTGGCTAAAAAATAAAGAAAAAACAATATGCTTATTTCATATTTATTTTTCTAAAATTTACTTGACAATTATGATTAATAAATCGAGCTTTATTTCCACGATGTGTCGCATCAATAACATTCATTGAATCAACTGTAAACATATAACAACCGAAGCCCTAAAAATAAATTCTTTTAAAAATTCTATTCTTTTTTCTTTTCATATTTCTTACTTTTCCTTCATTTTCTCTTTCACGTTTATCTGTTAGACATGGACGAACAACTTCACCAGAATATTCAACAATCATTTGTCCTTCAACTAAATCAATTAATGTAAATAAACCACAACCATGGATTGGTGATGATCCAACAAGTAAGGCACGTTCAGAAAAATAATGTAAATGATAAAGTCGTAAACTAACAGACGCTTCAGCAAGAAGAATTCGTCTTCAAAAAAAAGAATTATTTTCTTTTAGGAAGTTTTTTCTAATAGAAATTTACCTTGTATATGCAAGTGCATCATCAATTTCAAATGATTTAAGTGCATATTCAATCTTTCGACTTTGATTTAATAACCAACCAAATCTTTGACGTTCACGAGTTTTTCTATCATATACATTTGATCTTGAACATGATGATGATGAACTTTTTTTATTATAATTTTCTAGTGAACATGTCGGATTATTATTCAATAATGTCGATGATGATGATAAAGGTAATATAATTGATCCAATTTGTTGTTGGTTTGTATACATTTGATTAAGCATTATTTTAATAATTGTTTTTGTTAAACCAAATATTTTATGTCCATTTAATTCCTCATTTGTCATTGGTAAATGTTGTAAATTCATATCATCACGACAATTACGTATTAGATTAATAATTGTTGACCATGCTGAATCTAAATCATCCGAGATCGATTTATATCCTTCATCATTTGTTATAGTAAACTTCACATTAGAAAAATTTAATTTTAACCATTTTTTATATAATTGAATAAGATCATGTGAAGATATTGATGGATTTTTTTCCGAAGGTTTTGATTGTCGAGCACGATTTGTTGGCGATATAGGATTAAAATTAATTAATGATGGAGATTTAACATAATCAGATAAATCCATTGAATATTCACTATCTGTACGAATACGTTCAGAATTTGTTTTATTGATAATTTGTTCGATTAAAGAATTTATTACAATAGATGATATAGTAATATCTTTATCATCAGCATCGTCATCATCTATTGATCCATCTACTTGTGGAATACATTTTGGTTTTGCAAGTAAATTCGAATTACTATCAGTTGTATGTGGTAGAGATATATTACCGGGATAGGATGCATAGGAATCTATAACAAAAAAGAAAATAAATAAAAAATTTTATAAGATTCGAAATAGAAATTTTACGTTGAGAAAGACTTTTAGTTCTAATATCATCATATGATATTGATACAGATGTTGTTTCAGTTTGAGTCGATATTGTTGAACGCCATTGCGGTGGATATGAAGATAAATGAGAAGAATTCATTGTCGTTACTTGAGAATCTAGACAAGAAAAAAAACATGATTGTACAAGTCATATCATTCATATTTTGACAAGGATGATATTGGAGATGTTCGTTTTTTATTTCCAAATGCCGTGCTCATCTTTTGTATAACTTCTAACTACTTTAAATTTCCTATGCAAGAAAAAGAACTAGAATTAATACCATTTAAATTTAATTGTTGTGGTACAGCAATATTCTTTAATAATTGTTTTAAAAGAGTATCATTATTTTTATCTTGTATTGTTCCATTTGATGAATTACTATTTTGATCTGATGAATAATAACTCGTACTTGGTTCTTGTTGTCTAAATTAAATAACAAAAAATAAATTATATGAAAATAAATTTCTTTAGTTAATACATTTTAGTTGATTGTCCAACATGTCGAAGTGCTTGTACAAGTGCTAATGCAAATTGTGAAACATTAGTTGTTTTAAAATAATCATCATTAAAAAGATTTTGTATATCATTAGCTTTGAAATCTTTTGAAGGATTTTGTTTGGCTGTTAAAGATATTTGTGAATTTTTTTCATTAGCAAATCTATTTCGAGGTCGTGAAACATTTTTCAATGCAGCTTTAGGTGTTTGGCGTTTAACACATGATGGAGTTCCTTTTGTTAATTTTTTCGTTGCACCACCAGTTCCAGCTAGAGAAAAGAAATGATTTTTTTCGATTAAAAATTACAAAAAAAAATTATTTACTATTCGTTGTTTTTTTCTTATAATTTGATTGATTTGATACTCCTTTTTTATTAATCATCGTTTTTTGACAAAATTCTTCAATAGAATTTAAATGATCATCAATTTTCTTTTGAAATTTAGTAAAATATTCTCGGCATGTTTCGTATAATTGTTCAATATGTATTTGTTCATTTGTCATTGGATGTTCGATTATTCTATGATTTGTTATATTATCATGATATGTTTGGTCAATTTCAATATGTAAATGATAAACAGTTTTCTTATGAGGATCTTTTGTACTCCAAAATAAACGTGATGCACGGTAATTATTTGGATAATTTTTTTCCGAATAAAAATTTTCATCATTTTTTTCAATTTGATAATCAAAATTTCCTAATGATTCAATTTGAAGTGAACCAATACATAAACGAGTATTAATTAATGGAAATTCAACTGAATTATTCGAGAGATCACCATAAACAGTTGATGAAGTATTGACAGATTTTAATTTTGGTTGATTTGCAACATCTAAATAGAAGTTTATTAAGTAATTAGAAGAAAGTTGTAGGCAAGGACTTAGCCCCTATTTTGTGGCGTCTCCGGGAGACTTAGCTATCGTCTAGTTACGCGTCTAACTATAATATCATATATTAAATACTGTCTGATATACGTACTGAGTAGGGAACTGCAAAATGGTCCCGGTCATGGGATCGGGACCAAGACTAAAATTGTCAGCTAATTCCTCAATGTTTTTATCAAGTATGAGACTGGGCATTTTCTTATTTCTTTTTTTTTCTTTAATCATAAATTGACAAATGTGTTATTTTATAGTTCAAGAAAAACCGTATAGATTGAATTTAAAATCGAAAAAGCGAGAATTTTCGTGAACTTCATATTTTTTTTTCATAGATGAAGACAACACCAGAATTATTCTTAAGCTTTTATCGAGATCAGGGCCAAAAAAAAGTAATTTTGCAGTTCCCTAGTACTGAGTTCATACTAGAAAGAAATATATGTCGTATATTTGTTAACATGTCTCGGGAACGATTATATTTTTCGACTGAAATTTTTTTCGAAATAGAATGTTGTAATTAAATTACATACTGTTATTTGAAGGATCTTTTGATTCATCTTCATTAATTCCATCGACACTTTCTCGATGATTATTATTTATTGTTTTGATTCCATTATGTTTCAGACATAATGTTGTTAAATTTGGTAAAAATCCATTTTTGATATTTAATTGTTGTTGAAGATTTTTATCAATATTTGAATAATATTTTTGTATACATTCACAATGAAAACGTTGATAACATTCATTTTCATTACAATGTACACTAGCACCTAATTTTGAACATATTGCACAATTATATTTTGTTTGACAACGAAGAACTGTTTCACGTATATTACGTAATATATATGGTGGTTGATCAAGATTTTTTGCATATGCTGGAAGTATACAACCAACATGTACCCATTGATTAATACCAAATGATATAAGACGACCAATATTTGTTGATATATGATCAGATAATGTTTCACATATATGACATTTTCGTTTATCATTTTCATGTAGATTATTAAATTGAGTATCTTTATTAGTTGTATTATTAGCAAGACAATTTAATAATGAATCAATTGATGTTTCACATAAAACAGGCTCATTATTTGAAGCATAAGTATGATCCATTGATGGTGGCGGTTGCAAATAATTATTATTTATTGATGATGAATGATGTGATATTTTCTTATTATTAGATAGAAATGATGAAGATTTAAACCATGGACATTGACGAATAATACAACCATCAATAGCTGATTGCCAACGTTGAATATCATTATTCGTAAGAAGACGTCGAATGATTAAAAGTAAATCATTAAGAAATATATGAAGATTTAAAAATTCATGACGAGATTCATGTAATTGTTGAAGATTTAATATATAAGATTGAAGTTTATTTAAATGATTTTCATCAGATATAATTATTTGTGATAGTGATAAAATACTTGATATTATTGTTTCAATAGCTAAAATAAAAATATGAATTACAAATAAATAATTTTTCAAACTGAATTGAGGTATAAAATTCAGATCGATTCACCTACGACCAGGGGTAGGACAGTTCCATATTAGTTCCATACTTAGGAACTGTATAATAGTTCTTTTGACAGAAACTGAACTGTGTGAAAACTAGTTTTTCGGAAATAAAAACAAATTTGAAACGGATCAGTTTCTCTGAAAGAACTATTGAGACAGTTCAGTTCCTTTCAAAAGAACTGTGTTGGCAGTTCTTTTGACCAGTTCATCTGAACTTGGACCTGTTCTACCCCTACCTATGACACGATATCGATAATTCTAAAACAAACTCTTGAATAGAAATATATTCTCTCTATGCTATATACATAAGTTGTTAAGATAATCGAGCTTTGAATTATATTTGTTAAAAAACACTTACCGCAGTAGTAGCAAACGCTTAAAAGATGACAAGCAGAACTTCAGAGCTATTCAAATACGCAAAAGTATCATGGTATAAGACTGACCCTCTTTATTTCGCATCTGTTAGTATTATTTATGTAATATTCAAGTTGACATTCTTGTTCCTCGATGCAAACAAATACAAGATTATTCTGCTACCAACAGTTGCATTCAGGAATAGATACACTTATGAAGAAATATAAATTTCTTTTCTTACACTAGACTTTATTAGTTCGCATTATAAAATCAAAGGGCATAGATTTTTACCTTGAAGTTTATATTCTAATAGATATTTTTTCGTTTTTATTCTTTCATCTAAATCACATTTTGAACAAATAATATGTGTATATAAATTTGTAATATTTGGTATAATTGCTGAATCTTCATTTAAATATCCATCACATTTTGGATGAAAACGATTTTTACATTTAATACACTGTAAAAAATATGTTAATTGTTGTTGTTGTTTAGAATAAATTTGTTCGATATATTTTTCACATAAATGACATTTATCAATATTATCATTTTTTTCTAGACGAATTAATTTGATATTATTTAAACAATCATTACACATTAATGATTGTTGACATGAAAATGTTTTTGTTAACGAAAGAATATTTCGTTCATTTGATGTTAATGCTTGTCCACAATCACATTTAATACATGATGGACAAAACCATGTTTGATTTAATAAATAACTATTTGATAAACGTGATAATGATATTATAGAATTATTATTATTATTATTATTATTAGTGAGATTATTAAAGTCATTCAATTGATCATCTTTAAATTTTCTTATACATTTTATATGAAAATTTCGTTTACAATCAAAACAAGAAATTAATTGTGGAGATAAATTTTGTTCATTGGCCATTCGAGATAAAAAATTTTGATGAGTTAATAAACCACATATATTACATACATTACAATTAGGACATAACCATAAATCACATATTGAATCTAATCGAGGCCGTTCATATTCATTTAAACATGTTGGATGATATGCTTCACAACAATTAGTACAATAAATCAACTCAGAACCCATTGAACCACACTAGAAATATAACAAAAACAAAATATTTATTAGAATTATCTTTTTCTACGAGATTAATAAATATGAGTTAAAAACATCGATTAGAGATTACGCTATGCTTATGATTTATATGTCATCAAAAGCGTTATCTAATTATATAGCAAATATTTATAAGAGAAAATATTCAGTTTTAAGATTTCAACAATAAAGTACAGTGATGTTCTTTATAAAATAAACAGACAATGAAAAATATTTTCACTCGTTCAATACTCTAATGAATCTTGATGTCTATTTTTGACATCTCAATGATAAAATATTCTTTAGTATAAAGCGTATCAATAACTGAATATGGGTAAAGGAGTTATGTTTCTATTCGGATTTATGAATAGTGTTTTAAACAACGGAGTAACAGCGGACTTCAAGATTTTAGAGACTTCGAAAGACTTCAAGAGACTTCAGAAGACTTCATAAGACTTCCCGAGACTTCATCAGATTTTATAAGACTTCATAAGACTTCGCAAGACTTCAGGCATGAAGTCTCTGTTGTTTACTCCTTGATTCTAAATAAACTCTTGGTTTTGCTTTAAAATTCTATGATTAGTTCAATTGAAATAGTTTCTTCGTTTTTTTTTAGTTATTCAAACATGGTTAATACAACAAAACCTACAACGCTAGTTGGTTTTTATACAATTCGAAATAACCTTAATGAAAATTTGAATATTATTTCATAGATCTAAATAATCATGAAATGAAGAAAAAATACGCAAAAATTTTACCATATAACATAGTGAATAAAATGGAAATGGTTCATTTGATAAAACACAATAGCCTTCTTTAAAAAGATCAATTCTATTAAATGTATTTCGTAATTCCCAACGTAATTTTTCTAGATAAATTTCATTATTTTGATTCGGAAGAATTTCTAAACCATTCGTTGGTTGAACAGATTTTCTTAATCCATGATCATATAAATATTTAAATTGTGATATTAATCGTTTTGAATGTCTACTTAATGCTTGTTGTTGTTGAATAATTGTTTCATTTAAAACAACTGGAATATGTCGATGTTGATCCGATGAAAGTTTAGAAAAATAAATATTTCCTGTTTCATCTTCAATTTCTTCAATGTCACTATTATCATCAGGTATTTTTACTAATGATTGTTCTGTATCATCACTTGTTGAACATTTTGATTCTGTATCATTATCTTCATCCGTATCCGATGTTGTTAAACCAAATGTACAAAGATTATCAATTGGTTCATCACTATCAATTTGATCATATTTAAGACGTTTTGATGAATATAATTCAATATCATATGTACGTTTACGTGAACGACATTCTCGTTTAGGACGTTCATGTTTACTAGTTGATGGTAAATTTTTTGTTTTAGCTGTCACAGTTTCAAACATGGTTGCTGTTTCCATTTGTGCCATAATTGTCATTCATTTGGCAGCATTCGAAAAAATAAAGAAAATTTTCATTGGTTCATCTACCATTGATATATATGTTTGTCCTTCATTCTTTTTCTTAACAATAACAATAAAAAATAAAAATAGAAATAAGAATTTTATGAAAAATTTCGTAAGTTTTTATTCTAGAAAATTTTTAAAAAAATATAGATTAATTTTTTTTCATATAAGATTATGATATTTATCAATCGTTGTTTATTTGTTTATTTCTAAGGAGGACGATACATCGTCGAGTGTTCGTCATTTTCATTCTGAACAGATTACGAAACAACCATAGTTTTTGTTTTAGATTTAAAAAAATGGTGAAAGAAGATCGTTCAACATGGAAAGCAAAATACACCATGCGTTTAACGGTAAGCTCAATGATGATCTCCTTTTTTAATGTGTTCTGCAATTCTGAGTTTCTTCGGAAACATTGAGAATAATGCGTTCTGAGAGCTAATATTTTTCTTCTTCTTTTTTTTAGCAATATTTGGACGAATATCCGAAAGTATTTGTTGTCGGTGCTGACAATGTTGGTTCACGTCAAATGCAAAAGATTCGTCTCTCACTTCGTGGACATGCTGGTAAATTAGAAATTAAAAAAAACGTATCTTTGAAATAAATATGTATATTTTCTATTTAAAATAGTTCTTATGATGGGTAAAAATACTATGATGCGAAAGACAATTCGTGGACAAACATCAAAAAATACTAATTTGGAAAAATTATTACCACATGTCTATGAAAATATTGGTTTCGTTTTTACCAAAGAAGATTTAAGTTCAATTCGTGACAAACTTTTGGAAAACAAGGTATAAAACTATTGTCATCAAAAATAATTTCTCTTTGAATTATCTTATTCATTTCTTTTAAAGGTTGCTGCTCCAGCTCGTGCAGGTGCTATTGCACCAGTTGATGTTACAATTCCAGCTCAAGTAACCGCTTTAGGTCCAGAAAAAACAAGCTTTTTTCAAGCTCTTCAAATCCCGACAAAAATTACACGTGGTACCATTGAAATCATCGTACGTAATTATTTTCTGGAAAGATAACAAGATGAAAATAGTAGAGTGTGTAAATTCAAATAGATTTAAGATATTTTCAGTTCTAAACATTTCCTAATCTTTTAAATACTATACTCAATAAAAGAAGATAATATGTTTGTTATTGAACACTACCGAGCAAAGAGGAATACGGGTTATCTATTCGCTTTTTTATAGCTAGTGAAAAAAATCTCGTAAAAATTAACAATTTGACATAAATCTATTTTATTTCTTTTAGAATGATGTCAACTTAATTAAAGTCGGTGATAAAGTTGGCCCGAGTGAAGCAACATTACTTAATATGTTGGGCATTTCGCCTTTTAGTTATGGTCTCATCATTCGTCAAGGTAAATTAATTTTTTTGACCTTGAATTAATATTTGATTTTTAATACTTGTTTTTGAATAATTTAGTTTATGACTCTGGCTCATGTTTTGAACCAACTATTCTTGATATTAAACCAGCTGATTTACGAGCAAAATTTTCTCAAGGTGTTCAACGTTTAGCAGCATTTTCACTTGGTATTAATTATCCAAATAAAGCATCAGCACCACATCTTATTCTTGGTGGATTTAAACGTTTACTTGCCTTGGCTGCGGATACTGATGTAGAATTTGAACAAGCTAAAACTGTAAGTCGAAATATAGTTTAATCGTCTAAGATAGTATGAATCTTGGGTTCGAATCTACCTCTAAGTATACGGACAAATGATGAATGTTTTATCCAGTTCTGCTACTGAATCTAATTGATGAATCATAACCTATCCAACAGCGTTCTGAAGTCCGTTTCAATTTTTTTAAATCTAATCTTTTTTTTTAATTTTTTTTTTAATTTTAATTTATATTAATTTTATTTTTTGTTGTTTATTTTTAGTTGAAAGAATACTTAAAAGATCCATCAAAATTCGCCGCCGCTGCAGCACCAGCTAGTGCACCAGCCGCAGCTGCTAAAGCACCAGCCGCTAAAGAAGAAGCGAAGAAAGCACCTGAATCCGAAGCAAGCGATGAAGAAGGTGGTTTTGATATGTTCGGTTAAAATCATGAGAAAAAAAATTATTATCGTTTTTGAATATTCATCATCATTTTTATGTGCCAATTTTGTCATCAATTTCTTTTTTTGCATTGTTCAATCCGCATTTTTTTTATTTGGTACAATAAGAAACAAAACAGATGATAAAACGAAAGAGATAATAAAATTTATAAAGAAGAATAATTCTTTAATAAAAACAAAACAAAAAAGAAGAGAATGAATTTCTCACTCATTATGAATATGCTAAGCTTAATTAATGACATATGTTTCGATTCTTGTAAGAAAAAAAAACAAAGTAATGTTGAAATCACTTACACATTTTACAAAAATTTCATAATATCTATGAGTAATTCAAAAAGTTTCGTAAATAATCATGTACTCATATATCAGTCATTTCGCAATTTATTTATCAAAATATTATCGCGTATGACAACTGGTCTAAATATAATGATAATATTTGTTCCATGATATTTCTAATCTTGCTGAACAACTAAAACTTATAGGAATTACGAAATACATCGTAAACTTTCATACATTACGAAATTTAAGTTTATTCGGTTTAATGACTCCAAACTTACAGCTAAATGCGAAAATAATCGTATTGTTTATTTTTCGATAAAGATATATCGCATTAGAATCAAATTGCTTATAGAAAGTTTCTAACCGATATTTAGATCGACATAAAATAGTAACGTACATTAAGATCGTGAAATCACTTTGTATTAGAATCTATAGGACTACAATAGTGACTTTTAAATTTCATGTTTGTATTGAATTTGATACGTTATGTGTCTACACTGATCAGTACATGGAGCTCCATAAAAGTTTTTTCATCCGAGTCTCTTCAAAGACTTGACCAAGAATTGTCTTTATCACATACTTATATATCACTAAGATAAGTTAAATGATTAAAAACAAGCATAAGACTTACAAGTCTGAAATTTTGCACATAATCCTAAACATATGAGAGCAGGTCAAACAAAAAAATAGCCATTTAATTTATTTATGCAAATCAAATACGCCAATGTGATTTTCTAACTAAGCTAAATAGTTTGTATTAAAACTAAAAGTTTTGATTATCAAGTTAAAAAACTTTAACCAATTTATAGAACTTTTCTTTAATCGTAGATTATCTTATTTCTACTAAATAGTTTTTTTTATATGCATAATTTATCGTTTTTAAACTCATCAATAATTGAATCAACTTTGGTTTTTTTAGAGAAAAAATCTCTCATATTTACCATTCCACCCCAAGACTGTTATATTTATAATGAATTGTTTCTCTTCGTTTATGTAATTAAAAACCTATTTTTTTGTATATTCCAGTATCCATCTGTTGTCATTTTTATCGTATTATTTTTCAAATCAAACTAAAATAAAATCCTACATTCCAGTTGTGAAACGTTTACACATTGCATATATAATTAGTATTTTCAATTTTATATGACTTAATTTAAATAAAAACATCTCGATTCTCAATTCTTCAAATTCAAATAGTAAAAATAATATTCAAGAAAATCGAAAATCAAAAATTTTGATTCATAAATATATGAGATTTATTTCGATAAAAATCATATATTAAGATTTCAATATGTTTATGTAGTGGTTGATTTATCTACGTTTACTAATGTATTTATTTTCTATCTTTAAAAATAATTTTCTTGATTGAAAGTTTTATTTTAATCAAATTAGAATAAATAATTTCTAAGTTCAATATTCTTTTTCTTGTTTAAATTATTCATATTTAAAATTCTGTTTCTGTTTTTTTTTTTTTTTTTAAATTGAATAAGCATTTGATAAAGATAATTTTATCATCATGTCGACGAGAAAATGTAATCATCGTGTTTTATTACGCGTTTGATTAACCTAATCACTGGTGGTTCATCTCGACAACAACTGTCGTACCATCAATTCTGTTCTATATGACATATTCCATCGTCAAGATGATTTTCTATTGCAACCATTCGTAATAGTGATAAGTGGTAAAAAAATGTTTGCTGTTCGACATACACACAAGGGATTTAAATCGTTGATGATTGCTTTCTCTAACCGAACCAATGATGGAAGATGAGTTTGCAAAATGTGTGGATTTTTTCATCGTACTTGTTCAATTGCAAGTCTCATTCTCTCTCCCTCTGTCTCTCTTGAGTGGGTGTTTATATTATTACGTTATGTGAAAGATCAAATATTGACTTACTGATCAATGTTATCACATATAAACATACACACTTATTAAGACTTATCAGAAGGGAAAAAAAAGAAATGCTTGATATACATAGATTATGTTTAATTGTCATATTGCTAATTTAATCGTAAATTCACAAGCAAAGGTTTCTTTTTCTCTCCCGGAAGCAATATCGACCAACTGGCATTTTGTATTTCATTTTATTTTTTATGTTGCTTCTTCTTCTCGTTTTCTTTTGTCTATTCAATTTTGCCTGAAGGGGTAAAGACATGTTGTCAACTTTGACGATTCGATCAGCAACAATTCGCCATATTGTATGTATAGTGATGATCATTGCACGCGCATATACTCGTGTTCAACACCTGCCGAGGAGAAAAAGAAAAGCATAAGAGTAATCTTTTGATTTGAAACCGCGATAGGAACACAACTCATAGATATCATGCCGTAAGCGTTTATTTATTTTTCATTTGACATTATAGATTATCATTAAGAAGGAGGAGGATGATCTGCACAAAATGAACACCAAAGATTAAAATATAAAAAGAAAAGAATTGTCAAGAAAAGCAGTTATAGATTGTTCTGTGATTAATAGACCTGTTCTTGTTGTTGTGTAAAAAAAATGAGTTCTAGTCACAGAATCGATGTGAGATTAATAATCTTCTCCTGCTAGATTTCTGATGCATAATATAGCAGTTCCTAACACACACCTATTGTCTGCAATTCTCAATCAAGATTTTCTTTCTCTCTGCACACACACACACACACACACATCGTATCCAGATGGTTGCTCACACTTTCTTTTGTCACCGCCTCTCGCTCAGTCACTCTCTCTCTCTCTCTTTCAATTTGACACCTAAACATATGGATCATCGTTTTATACATAAAGAAGACGAAGACGAAGAAGAAGAAAAATAATTCTAATCATGCAAAGTTAATTAGTTAGTAGTTAGTTTTTATTGTTCAATGTCGAGCAGCAAGTTCTTGAATCAATGATCCAATAGGTCCATATTTTCCATTATTACTTTCATTTTGATTACTGTTTTGATGTACATGATGATTAATTGGTTTTAAAGATAAATTTCCATGAAGATGTTCGGCACCATGTTGTGTATCAATATGACGACGTAAATCAACTTTACGTTGAAATGCACGTAAACATTTATGACATTGAAACGGTTTAAAACCCGTATGTTTACGACTATGTGTAATCAAATTTGATGATTGAGAAAAAGCCTTACCACAAACAATACATTTATGAGGTTTTTCTCCTAAATAAAAAGAATAAATATTTTCAATTTCCCTTGTTATTTCAATATTAATTGTTTACGGATGAATACAGATAGACAATAAAAAAATAAAAGAAATGATTAGTCTTATCAGGATCCGCACTAGATCTCATCTCATGAGAATATAGAGAATAAAGTGAATTGAATCTATCTAAAAAGAAGACGAAGAAGGAAAAACTAAAGATGACTGAATCTGTCATATAAGGAGAAAAAGAAATGTGTGAATATTACGCATAAGACATTTTTTACTATTCATTTTTTCTATCTTCAAATATGCATATTTAACAAGAATTTCTTATCAATGTTTAAAATGGCTATCGTCATTGTTTCTCAAGAGAGATTCTTTTGACATCTGGTTAATTGTGATGTTCATCTTTTTTTCTTCTGTTTGAAATAGAGAAAGAAAAAAAATATGTACCAGTATGAATATATGTGTGTTTTTTCATATCAGATTTTTGATGAAAACGTTTACCACAATGTATACATGAATAAGGTCGAGTATCCGAATGTATTAATAAATGTGTTGATAATGTTGATGAACGTTTAAAACATTTTCCACATGTTTTACATTGAAAACAACGTTCTTGTGTATGAGTTGTTCGATGTTGTGCAAGTGATAATGAATGACCAAATGTTTTTGAACATAAATCACATGAATAAGGTTTTAAATTTGATGAATGTGTACGTCGAACATGTACTTCTAAACCATGTGAAGTTGAAAAATATTTTTCACAATCATTACATTTATATGTATTAGTTTCTTCATCATCAATTTCTTCTTCTTCTTCGTCTTCATTTTGTTCTTCATCATTTTTTTCCGATTTTTCACTTGTGCCACCCGATGATGAAAGATTTAAAATTGGTGAAGAAAATAAATTGGAATAATATTGTACACCAAAAAGATATTTTAAACGTTCAGCTAGATAATTAAATATAAATATATATTATTTAAAAAATTTTGATTTCTTTTTGATTTTTTTTTTACCAGTTATATCTCCATTGATTTGTTCAGATCCATAAGCTTTTCGATGAAGTAACATAGCTTCACTTAACCAATTTGGAAAGATTGAAGACATGATGAACAAAACAAAATGCAAATAAATGTTAGAGAATATATTTTTTGTTCAAAACGAGTTTGACTTGTATCTTAATATAAGCTTACATTCCATTGGATAAGGACAAGGAAGCGAAAGAGAGAGAGGGAGAGAGAGAAAGAAAGAAGAGAAAAAAATCTCGTTCAAGGAGAAAGAGAGAAGCAGAAATTTTGTATTGGTTCTTGACTTTTTTCTATTCAATAATAGAAATAATTCATCACTATTGGATGAATATATTTAACTGATTGATTTTATTTTCTTAATCAGAGAAAATAAAAAGAAGTTTCTTTTTTTCCTTTTTCTATATTGATATAATGAACAGTTGGATATTTATTTTGTTTATATCTATTAACTAATTAGTAGTCATTATCTATTCATCAAGGACAAAAATATATTGTAGTTTAGTCAATTTGATTTTTATGACGACGTTGACTCTATATGTTTATTAAATATACATAGACATCTTGTCGTTGACAAGTAGCAAAAAGATGAAAGTTGTTTGTTATATGTATGATTCCATGTTCGAATTATTGATATTATTTTTAAGTGATAAACAAATATAGATGAATAAATAAAGATATATATATATATGGAATTATTTGTATTTTTTGAATTATATGAATGCAATACAAAAATCACAGGTATAGGATTGAAATTTATTGAATAATAGTTAGTAAAAATATTAAAAAAAGCTTATCAGGGCAGCCCTGTTGGGGCTAAAAATGTGGAACTCACGTTTAAGTGCTTTGTTTTCTTTTTTTGGTCAAATTTAACTAATTTATAGCTATTTTTCACTATTTTTGTTATTTTTATTAAATCTGCAGTAATTTATAGATTTTTTAACTATTTTTGCTTACTTTTATTCAATTGAGGGGGAGGGGGGAAATGAGCTGGAAAACTTGAACTTAAAACTTACACTCACGATTTTCTTCGATAATTTACGTGAGTTCCACAAAATGTATGTGATGATCGAAATAAACGACACATGATAATTATTAATCAACTAATGAATATATTAAGTAAAAACTCTACTACAAGATTACTGTGTATTACTAAATTGATGCAAAGAAAGAAAGAAAGAAAGGATTAATGATTAATTATGATACTTTTATACCTTGTACCATATGTTATCTATTTATGTATTCGTTTTTTCTGTTCATCACTTTCATTCGAAAAACTACGTAAAATATCGAAAGCAAAGACATTCATATTTTACTATATTTAGCATATAAATAACTTTTTAAAATGATCATTACAAGATATTTACTGTGTTAAACATCTCTATTTCATCACTCTGAAATTTAATCTCTAATTTAAATATTGGAATTATCAAATCATATTATTTTCACATATGTCTATAAATAAAATAAACCTGTACAATCAACAAAGCAGATTAATTATATTATAATATACCTGTAATAACACCAAAGACTACAACAATCATAAAAATAATCAATATGTGAAATTCCTTTGAGAACTATCAACTTACATTCTATATTTAACATAATTATTTATAGATACCATAAAGTACTTGTTTCAAATAAGTAATCATATAAATTATTATTGAGATTTTTATTTCTTGGCAATCTAAGTGTTTTATTTTAAAATTCAAGATCAGCTGAATATATAAGTTAAGTGAAAATATTTGATATTAAATTTGTTTTATTATTGTATTATAATGATAAACTAAATAGTTTTCTATACTTTGATTAAAAAAATATTCTATAAAGAACATTTAAATTGAATACAACAAGGTTAAATTAAATAAGACAACACAATGATGATTCTACGTAGGGAAAAATACAGATAAAAGATACATAATGTGTCTTTAAAAAATGGGATTACGAAAAGGGAGAGAGAGAGAGATTGACTTTATGAGAAATTAGGGTAGAAATGAGATGCGAAGGTAAGAGTTCAATCAATTTTTGTCGATTTGTTCGTTTAAAAAATATATAATTGTTATCATTCATTACTTCGCCATAATTTTAATCAGCATAAATGACACGTAAGGTATTTGTTGTACCATAACCCGGACGCTATAAGATAAATAATATAAGAAAAATTAGTATTTATTTTAAAATATTGCTTACCCATCCTGTAACAACAACAACAGCATCACCAGATGAAACAAAACCACGTTGTTTAGCAAGGCTAATTGCATCGATAACACGAGCATCAACATCAAGTAACCAATCACTCATAGCTAAAGCTTGAGTTGTTGATATATGATGTTGTTTAAATAAAAGATCTTGACTTTCACGATCAGGAGCTATTATAGAAAAAAATATTTTGTTATTACATAAATACAAATTATTTCTTTTGTATTACTATTAGCGTCATGTTCACCAGCAGCAGTTGGTGCATTAGCTTCTATATGAAAAATAAAACAAAAGGTGAAATATATGCAATTAAATAAATCGTAATGATCATTTTTCTTTTCATTAATAAATTATGTGACTTACTTCGTTGAGCTAAAAAATAGAAAATTAAAAGAGAAAAAATTATTAAAAGATTTTAGAAGAAATAATTTACTGGCAACATGAACAGGACAACAACCGCGGTATAAATGAATTTGTCGTGCTGTTTTCATAGATCGTGTTACAGTCATAATAACGGCTCGTGGGCGATATTGAGCAATAAGATGAGCCGATCTAAACAACATATGAGAGAATTCAGTGTTTTTCTTCATTAGAATATTTTTTGAAGATACTTCAAATGTTATTAGCTTTTCATAAAAATATTTACAATTATTCTTGAGAGATGAATGATTCTAGATTCAATATTTTCATTTGTATCTTTGTTAGAAATGTAGATCGGATATGAAAGTCATACATATTTTAACAGCTGTTATTTAGTTTTAATTGTCACATATGCAATAGTTACTTTTAATGATAACTATTTCTTAAACAGTACATCTATTCTTTTATTAAATTGACTAGTCAAATAGTTTGTTATTCTTTGCATTTTATCGATAAATGTATATGAAAGATTTTCTTTTTCATACAATAAACTATTTACATCTCTCGTCTGACTATATATATTTATTCACTCTCTCGACAGATTATATAGATGCACTAAAGTTACCCCCTTTATTCTAGGTGCATTTCATTTTATAAACACTGAGTGTAATAATAATGTCTATCAGGTGATTCACATGTCAGATAGAAGAAACAGTAAAATGCACTTAAATTTTTCGAAGAATTCTTCCAGCTTATGTAAATATAAGTATTTTTTTTTCTTTATATTCTTACTTTCCAGAATGTGTCAATACAATAATAAGTGAAGAATAACTTCGAAAAGCTGCTTCAACAGCAGCAATAGCTGTTGATTGCATTTGATCCTAAATAACATTAGTTTTTAAAATAAAATAATCTATTGAATTTTATTTACCAATGGTGGTTTAGTAAAATAACGAAGATTTTCGAAAAGTTCACGATGAAATAAACAAGCTTCAGCTTCTCGAGCAATCTAAATTTAATTTTTAAAAAGTTCAATTTTCCATTCTTTTTTCCTTATTATCAAACCTCGTGCATTAATTGAATACATTGTATAGGATATTTGCCTTTAGCTGTTTCACCTGATAACATAATACAATCAGCATTATCCAAAACTGCATTAGCAACATCGCTGACTTCAGCACGAGTTGGACGAGGATTTTTTGTCATACTTTCCAACATCTAAAATCAAATCATATATAATGGAATTAAAAAGACGAAAATAATATATTTTGTTACTTGTGTAGCGCAAATAACTGGTTTACCAACTTGATTACATTTTGCAATCATCATTTTTTGTGCAACAAAAACTTTTTGTGGTGGTATTTCAATACCCATATCACCTCGAGCAACCATAATACCATCAGCTTCTTCAAGAATTGAATCAAAACTTGAAAAAAACAAAAAAACAAACATTAAAAATAAATGAAATTAAAATATACTTTTGAATTCCTTGATGATTTTCAATTTTTGCAATAATTTTCATATCTTTTCCTTGTTCACCAAGAATTTTTCGAATTACACGAATACCGTCAGCATCTCGAATAAAACTAGCAAAAACCATATCAAGCTAAATAGAAGAATAATCTTGTGTCGTAAATATAATTTTAAAAATAAATTTTTTGTTTTTACATCATTTTTTACAGCAAATAGAAGATCTTTTTCATCTTTTGCTGATACAGCTGGTAAATCAATTGGTACACCTGGTAAATTAACACCTTTACGACTACCTAATAAACCACCATTTTCAACTTCACATTGAAGAAAAGTATCTCCTATAAAAATAATTTAATATAAAACATAAATTTTTTTTTAACAAGATTTCTTTTCTAACTAACCAACTTCTTTAACAAGTAATGATATAAGACCATCGTCGATAAAAACTCGATTTCCTGATTTAATAACTTGAACTATATTTTTATAATCAACAAATAAATTATCTTTTGAACATTTATCTGCATATTGTGCATCAGTTGTTAAACGAACGCTCATTCCATTTTGTAAATCAAGTTCACTGTTAACTCCCTTGAAGAGAACAATTTTTTCTTTTAATATTCATTTAATTAAATAGAGTTTATATCTTACATCAGCTAAAACACCGGTTCGAATTTCAGGACCTTTTGTATCTAATGCAATGGCAATTGGTCGAAATTGATATCCTTCTCCTGTAAGTTTTTCAGCAGCACGAACATTATCAATACTTTGTTGATGATACTAAATAAATAAATAAATGTATATCATAGAAGGCATTCATCTTTTATTTACTTCATAGGATCCATGTGAAAAATTAAGTCGAGCGATATTCATTCCAGCATCAATCATTTTTGTAAGCATTTCTACACTTTGTGATGCAGGTCCTGGAAATAAAACTCATTTAATATTCTTCTGATAAATAAAAAAAGAAATCTACCTAAAGTACAGATGATACTTGTATGACGAGTATTCCATCTAGATATTAAAAATAATAATTAGATAAAAAGGAATATTAAATTCGAGTTTTTTTACGGTTCTGAATCAATATCAAGTAATGTTCTTTGTTCAAGTGCATTTACAGCTGTTTCAGCAAATGATTGATGTTGATAAAATACTCGATTTTTTGGATCTTTTTGTTTAAGTTCATCTTTGAGTTTACCGCGAATGTCCATCTAAATGAAAACATTTATATTTATGGAAATAATTTCTTGTTTTATATGAAATAATAGTCTTGGCTTAAACATCATCATCTTTCCTATCGAGTAAAAACCAAGATTTTCTCTCTAGCATACAAATGTATACATTTGTTTGACATTAGAATTTCTATACGAACACAAATACACACAAAAAAAAGACAGTAGAAATAACAAGAAAAAAAAACATTTTGTACAGCTCATAAGCATGTACAAATTTGAACAAAAACAAATGTTTAAGGATCAATTTCTCCAAGAAAAACAGTTTTATCTGATGAAGCTGATGCAATAATTGGTTCACTTGGATGAAAATCTACTTCATTAACACTTCCAAGATGGCCTGGTAAACGATAAAGTATTTTTCTTGTTGCTAAATCCCAAATATAAACATGTTTGTCAGCACTTCCACATGATACACGTTTTCCATCTGGTGACCATGAAACACGTAAAAGATTTTTTTCAAAATTATGTTGATGTCCTTGTAATAATTTAACACAACGATCGACTCCATTAAAATATGGTCGAATATCCCAAATACGTATAGTTGAATCCATTGAATTTGATGCTAAATATGATCCATCTTGACTTAATTCAAGACCGGTGGGACTATCAAGATGACCCTCAAGACGTAATGATACATCTTTTTTACGTAAATCCCACATTTTAATTGTATTATCAATACCACCAGAAAAAATTGCATCTGATGATCCATTAAAACAACATGCTAAAACTTGATATTTAGCTTCGAATGTCATAACTTCACCACGTTTACGTCGATCCCAAACTTTAACAGTACCATCATCTGAACCTGTACACATCATATCTTTTCCGATACGTGAATAACCAATTGAATTAATAAATGATTGATGTCCTTTTAATTTTTTAACACGTTGACATGTTGTTATATCCCAGATATAAGCTAATTTATCTAAATAAATAAATCAATAAATAAGTTTTTGAAATCTCTCTTTTATTATTTAACGTACCAGTAGAACATGAAGCAAGTTCACTACCATCTGGACTCCATTGTATTTCCATAATTGCACCACCATGACCAGTTAAAACAAACCAATTATAACATTGATCATAAACATTCCATAAGAAAATTTTTCTATCAAATCCAGCTGATGCCATAATTTCACCATCAGCATGAAATTTACAAGAAAATATTTCACCTTCATGTCCTTGTAATAACATAATTGGTGCTGCTAATTTTGATGTACGTATACGAGTTGAAACAATTTGTTGATTTTCATTTGTACGAGCTTGTTTATAAGGTGCTTGAGGACCAATAGGTACAAGACTTCCATTATTTTCGTTTGGTCGTTTTAAACTCATTATTTACAGAAAAATCACAATGTATTACAAATAAAGAGCGAAAAAACAAACGTTCAGATAGAGAAATCTAGAGTATTGAATAATTAATAAATATGTACGTGAATAAAAAAAAAGAAAATAACAAATCCATCACAACTTCATTTCTGTTTTAAAATGTACTTATGTAAGAATAAAGAAAAATTTGCTAACCTTAATAGCTCGTTGCCAATCATGAGGATGAGAATTTTTACGTTGACTATTATCGAATGTTGTATGGTCGTTTGTAGAATGTCCGTTCATGATGAAATTAAGTTTCAAAGAAGTATGATCAGTGTAAGCAGTGAACACAATTGTGTGATGAATAATGATAAAGTGAGACTCTAATAGGACGGCGACAGAAGTATTTTTCTACTTTTTCTCTTTCACTCTCTCTCCCTCTCTCTCTCTCTCTTTACTTTTTTCTTTCTGTTAAATTCATCGTCCGAGAATATACATTGAAGCACGTTTCTTTCTACGACGTATATGTCTATCGTTTCTTCAGTAACAAAAAACGATAGAGAGAAAGAGAGAGAAGAAGTGTTAAAAGGAAAAAAACACAATGAATGTGAACATAACCAGGCCTCAAATTATTTATAAAACTATATGAAATTAAGACATATAACTAAGAAGAAGAATATAGGCATGAATATGCATAAGGATTATTCAACGATCACGTACTCTATAATGAACATACGTATAAGAGAAGGTCAAGGAAGGACATAGAATAGAGGCTTGAACCATAATAACACGCACACACCCTTTTTCTTAATATGTAACTTCTATCAGAAAAGCGAAAAAAACGAGATATGTAAATCAGCTATTCAGATCTTCTTAATCTGTTTTAAGGACATCTATATCTTAAACTATTGAGTACAATGCTAATGAGACTTAGAAAAAGAAAGAAATCATGCATAAATAATATAAACTTTACTTTTAATGTGATTGATGAATATAACACAACTGGTGTTTGGCGTCGATTTGTATAGAAAAACGAATGAGAATAAGTAACAGTGAAATGTTGTTTTTTGTGGGTACAAGAAAAGATGTTGTTTTTCTCTCTCTCAGTATAGCTATTTTTCTAATGGAGAACCCTAGTGAAAGAACAGAACAAACAAAAAATATGATAATCTATGGAAACTCTGGACTTTCTCTTTTCTGATTAAAACATGAAAAATATTGTTCGATCATCAAATCCTATTTTTTTATTTTGTTTTCAGTTAAAAATATAATTTATATGCATTTTTTATAACAATGAAAAGAATTTTTGTTTTGTTTTCCTTTGTTTATTAATTAAATCTTTGAATAATAGCATGTTGAACACTTTGTAATTGTGTTGATACTTTTGATATAGCAGCATAACGATGTAAACCTTGAATATTTTGTTGTTGATCAAGTTCAAGTACATGATTAACTTGATCAATTTTTCCTGTTATTGTTTGATCAAGTATACATGATATTAATAAACTTTCAACATCATCCATTTGAATATTTAATTCTTGAGCAATAAATTCAATTCGAATTTTTGTATATGGTTTTATTAATTTAACAAGAACTTTTGTACGTATTGTACGTAAAAGTATTTCAATATGTTCACGAATAAATTGATCATCCATAATAGCTTGACGATTTATACGTAAAATTGATTCAAATTCTTTTATATCATTATTTTGATAAGCACCAACAAGATTTGTCATTGCTTGAATTTCAGGATCTGTTTTATATGGTTTAGCTTCTTGAGAATCAAATGGATTAATGGTTGAACGCATAAGCATATTAGCAAGAACAAGATATTTTAAACATGTTGTTCGACGTGGTGAACCTGATTCATCATAACTTTTAAATGCTTCAAAAAAATCTGTATGAGCTTTTTCATATTCTTGTTCACGTAAATGCATTTTACCACCACATTCTCGTATTACACCTTAAAAAGAAGATTAATATATAAAAAATTTTAATTATATTATATAAACAAACCCATAATAAGTGGATGAGGAATTGCTGCTTTAATATGTAAAGATAATTCATATAATTGTTTAAGTTTTTTAGTATTTTTTTGTAAAGTATGCATTTGAATTTCTAAAGCATATACTTCAAGTAACTGCGTGCCTTTACGTTGGTCATCAATACCTGAAATAATGAATATAGTAGTAGAAGATTAAAAAAAAAAAGTAATTATATATATTTTTACCTTCAGATGTTTGACATGATTTATGTAATTCTTTGAGAATTTTTTGTAATTTAACATAATCTTGTTGTTCTTCATATAATTTACCTAATTTTAAATTGGTTTTAAACCAAAGACGTTCATTTTTTGTTTCTTTTAATGCACCTAATGTTGTTTCATAGAAATTTTGTAATAAATCCATTTGTTTAGATGTTGAAATATAATCAAGAATTGAATTTATAGATTTCTCACTAACATTTCGTGTTACAGCAGATTTGATATATGTTAATCTAATTCATTTAAAAATAGTTTTAATATAAACTCTAACAATACTTACAATTCTTTATAACATGCTAACATTTCATCATAATTTTCCATTTTAAAATAAATTTTCATCATTTGTTTAAGGGCTTTAAAACCCCAATCACCTTTGTCACCACTTTTTTGCTCTAATGCTAAAACTTTTTTAAAGCTTTCAATAGCACCAAGTGGATCATCTTCTTTTAAAGCTTTAGAATTATAATATTGATTTTCAAGATCTGCATCTGGCTCTTCATCTGTATTTTCATAATCAAGATCAAAATCATCATTACCACCCATATCATCATCGTCTGACATTTTTGTTGTTATTATTTTCTGATCTAAAATAAATGACGATATTATTTAGAATATTTGAAGATATTTTTCATTATATATACTCAGAATGTTCCAAGCATTTGTTTCAATTTTCAAAAAATTAAAATTCTTTTCATTCGAAAGAAATGAATTAAAAATTAATTTTATTTAATAATTTTTCAAAAAAGGAGATGGATAAACTTGCACAAATAAAGCATGGTAGATTAAACGAATCAATATTAAATACATGACATATAGTGACCTCTCATAAAAGATAAAATGCTAATATGATGTCACTATTTATCAGCAAGAGTTTTCATTAACATATCGCTGTTTTGAATGCATATATTTGTGGTGAAACAATTGCATTTAATGTTTTAAACAATATAGTTATTATGATAAAAATAAAGATTGAACACTATTTAGTATTTATTTTACTTTAAACTCATATACAATAAAACAGTAGATAAGTACAAGATAAAAGCGTTCATATCAATACCAAATACTTGCTGAACTTTGTGTTACACATTCTTGATCTTGTATACGTGTACTAGCACCATTAAAAAAAAAAGATCGTATCTTTCCTATTACTTTGGGTACAACAAATCTCAATATAGTTGCAAGACTTTCCAAAAGTCCAATAATAGTTGCATGTAATGATCTAGTTATCCATTCTTCAACCATAAGTTCATTAATACATGATTGATTGTAAAAACAAGTAAGAGTCCATTGAAGAAGATCTTCAAAAATATAACATCCACGCACTATTCTTGGTACAATATATCGAGTGTGGGTGTGAGTGCATCTTTCCTTAACTTTTATTCACATTTTAAAATATTTTTATTATACTTTTAATATATTTGTATACATAATAAAAGCTTTATCGCTTTCTATTATTGTTATATTTTTCCATCAATAAATTGTAGATGAGCCTGTGTTAAAACATATTTAGTTAATTTTTTTCATCCATCGTCGAACCAATTTTAATATTTAAAATTTTTCTTGCTTCCTCTTTCTTTTTAACTGTTCTATAAATTTTTTTGGTAATTGAAGAATTTAAACCAAGTTTAATATCAAGTTTATTAATAACAAATAATGATATATATTTATGATAAAATTCTATTAATGTACTTTTTAAACTGATGTTAAAACTTTTAACACAAATTTTTCCAAAGCATTAAAACGGTATTCAAAACGAAACGATGGATTTTTTCCAAATAATATTGAATAAAAGTAATCAAGTAAATTTATTTTCATAACATAACGACTAATTAATAATAGAATTTTATTTTCATATATTTGATCTTGATAATCGTGATATTCTTGTGTAAATTTTATGAAGTTCTATACTTTTTGATGGAAAATAATCTGCTATAAATTTATGTAATAATATACGACATAGATCTTCTGAAATCGTTTCATCTGTATCAAGCAATCGTGTTTTTAATGTTAAATACATTTGTAGAATATGATTAAATTGTTCATATAATATTAATAAGCAATTATCAATAATAAAAGTTCTTGTTGATAATTTTTCAATTAATGATTTATCATCAAGATATATTGAACGATATGATAAAGAAAATAATGGTCACCAAATACACATAATTTTTTCTCGACTACATAAATCAAGAATAATGGTATGAAAAGAAACGATTCAACGACATTGATCAATAGTTTTTATTTCGTCAATATTGTTTATAATAAAATGAGATGTTACTGGATATTTAAATAAATTTAATAAATATGTGCTAATTGTTGACCTACCAGAACATGGTAAAACTTCATTTGGCTAAATTAAAAAAAAAACAAAAGAAAAATCTAAAATATTTTATTTGAAAGACTTCATTTACTTGAATGTATAAATAAATATATAATTAAATAGAGCTTGTAAACCACATTGATTATCAATAAATAAAATAATATTTGCTCTATTATAATCTTCTTCATGAAATATCATTTTCTAAAACATAAAATAGAATGATGTTTTAAAAAACTTTTTTTTACTTAAGTTGTTATCTATAGGTAATGAAATATAATTTTACAGTTTTTATAAACAGATCAGGAAATTTGAACTGATTAATTGGAACGCTTCAAAATATGATATTTTCTCTGATGCAAAAGTAAAATTACATATTTTATAGCTCATTGTTCCGCTCTAAATATCGAACTTTTATTAAAACGTCCTTTAAATAAAACTGTTGATATTTAAATCTCGATTCTAATAAATGAGAAATATCTTTCTAATAAAACTATTTTGAATATGTAGCCGATGAGACAAAAAAAAATAAATTTTAATTATACTAATAAATAATGTAGAAGTTGCTGTCGATATAGTTTATTCAATTCTTTATGATTAACTTAATAATCTTAAAAAGTTAATTATTGTCGAGTTTTCTTGAATATCTAAACTTGCATACAAATAATACTCATACACAACAATCCAATGAACTTAGAACTGTATCAAACTATTGATACACAAGCGAACATGAAAATTATTCATGCATATCAGCTAAATATACTGCATTAAATAAAACTACTTCAAGATTTGTTTTTTCTTTCTTTCTTTCTTCTGTTTCGTTTGAATATGTGTAGCCTAGAGTAATAAATGTAAACATCAAGCCATGCTTAGTTGCTTTCATTACAATAGCTCATAATGGTAAACGTCCTTCGAAAATGAGGACATGTGCGATTGAAAACGATAGAACGAGACTACAACAGAATGATAATACAGATATTGAGTGAAAGAAAAAATGATTGTTTTTGTCAATGTTTATTTAAAAGATATAGTCGGAAGTTCTATTAACGTCAACGATGAATAATGGAATCTCGAAATTTGTCGTGTGAAATAAAAAAAGAGTATGTTTCTAGTTGCACACTGTAGGATAAACTTGAAAAAAAGAAATGTTGACTTTTGAAAATTATTGAAAAAATAGTTTCAATGAGTCAGTTTTATGAAAATTCTTTGCTCTTTTGAGTAGAAAGCTTAATATAAATTTGAATCAAGATACTTGTTGATGGTGTCTATCAGTTGTTTTGTAGAACCTTACACCCTCACATTTAACAAAACTTATAATACATTGAATATATGTTTTTGAGCTTAGTCAAATAATAAGAGGTTGTTCATACTTTTTTTAATATATTTTATACGATTCGAAAAAAGACAAGTAGAATATATTTTTCGCTTTTATTTTTATTAAAACATGAAATTATAAAAAAAAATACAAAAAGATATGAGAAAAAAATAGACAAAATATTTAAAAACGTCAAAGAAAAAAGGAAAATAGTAGGGTATAAAAAGAAAAAAAAACTAACTAAAAAATATAAGAAGAAAAAAAATTGATAATAGATAATGTCTGATAATAATAGTGCTTGGTTATAATATTCGAGTTTTGATATGGTGAGCGTATGTGCCATGTATCCTATAAAAGAAAATTAGTTAGTTAGTTCAATGTCATAAAGTACTGCAAATGATAATCTGAAACAAGAATACACAAATGATAACACAAAATATCAGAACTTGTCTCAATCAGTTATGATTGAAAAACTGTATTCATACAACTACCTGCCTTATTTTCCACCACTCTTCCATTCAAATATTCTTCTCATTTCGAGGAAATGACTGGGCTCGTCTATAAAGGTCGTCCAGTAGAACGTAATATTCTTTTTACATTCCAACACGTCTAAATGCGTTTACTCTCTTCTTCTGGAAAAATCCTTTTCTTCATGCAAATTCGTGCTGTGTTACCATCAAGTTATTATGTCGGTCAGCTCTTCCCAGAGGCATACGAATTTTGAAAATTGTGCATTGAACGACGCTAGAGTACTAGACATTTGATTATCAATCTACATATTTAAACCCAAGAATCACATTGGCTTATCAATATATCAGATGTATCTCTGTTCCAATAAGAGAATATAATATCATTTGAATGGATAATTGCTATAGTAAATTTCTTTCTGAAAAAGGTGTTATTCTTATTCGTGGGTGTATGTGTGATGGAAAACAGAAGAATAGCATCCATATCCATCCACTCACTCACACCCTGTCGCTCCAGGTGGTTTCGACCAAGTCTTTCTAATCCACGTGCAACAATTTGGTCAAAGTAAGCAATTTCGGTTACGTATAATCGCCAGATTAATTTTTTGTCATCTCAAAAGGTCTACCGGTAGCATTCTGTCTTTTGCCAAAGCGACAATCCCCAACATACACAGAGTTATTTCAAAGATTGAAACATGAAGCAACAGTATTGCGCAACCAGTTTGAATCAGAATGTGTTATATCTGATTTTGAACGACCATTACTTTCAGTTATTCGACAAGCAGTAAGTTTTTCGTTACATTTGTAGTAAGATTAGTGCTAAAAGATTCCAAGTGATACACACCCTGATTTTCTATTCCATTTTACTCAAGCTATACATCGTAAAATAACAAACCTAGGACTACGTGGTAGTTATGCACAAGGTGCAACAATACGCGAGCAATTTAAACAACTAATGGTGTTGAGTCTGATGCCGATTTGTGAAGTTGAAACACCATTCAAATGTATTCGTGAAATATCATTGACATCATTGGAAGATCTATTTGTATATTTTAGATATTAATAGCTTAATTAGAATATTCCTTTATTGATGTGCAATGTAAACTACATTAGTCATCAAACAAAATAATGTGTCAGAAGGTAATATAGGAAGAGCTCACCTAGAGTGAAGAAAAAATATCCGACTCTATTTTGATTTATTTTAATAATAGCATACGATCGTTGATTTGGCACACGTGTGATCGCAAGACATCCAAATATATGGACATTCACACAGTTGATTCAAGATTAAAATGTTCGATTTGAACATATACTGATTCAACTAAATGCTGTTGCTCCATCTTCGAAACCAACAAAAACTAGAACAGCTTTTCAGAGGCGATTTGAAACACTCCATTTACGGTTCAAGAATCATAATATCAATGCAAAGCAACTATTGAATGGATTGACATTATTAGTTGGTAGACAAAAGAAATGAGATAAAAAATTTTAATTTTTCATTTATTTTCGGCTGTCTTTTTTCTTACGATTGATTAAATAAAATGTTTTTTGTCGTTAATATTAATAACACAGGAAAATGTCATTTTCGATGTTGACCTTTCGACATTTTCCTCCGTCCTATTTTCCTTTATGACACTTTTACTTTCTACGTTTTCCACCAAACCCATATTAGTTCTACTACTTTAATTTATAATTTAACCTTTACAGAGAAGTACGACAATACGCCATCGTCATGAATACACACAATCCAACCACTAAACATATACAGTACACGTCACACCAGAGAAACCACTCACTTTCCGATATACACTATCAATTTTCTCTACTCATGCATGAATCCAAAGTTGTTATAGTAATAATTATAACAAGAACCATTAGTCACTCTATTTTTTGTCTACTTACCACTTTTGGTTCGAAAATCTTTCACATCACTTGTCTCCTAAATGGCATATTTTCCTTCATGCTTTAGTATCATTTTGTAGCACTTGATGAGCTCTATCTATGCTAAAAAAATAGCGGTATTATTAGGCATTTAAGTATTCGATTTAGCTTCTGAATACAAGACGTAACATGCGATTTTATGAGTGAAATTTGCTATAACAGGAATCGGATAGGAGGTCGATGATCACAGTCTACACGCCTAGAAAGATGATCTTTAAGATGCGTACGTATTTCATTCTACAACGGGGAAGCATACACTCTAAATAAAATTGGTGCTCTACTAAACCCCCAAAAAAGGTTTCGACGTTACGAGAAAGTCTCCAAACATGTTGAAAGTTTGAAAAATACAATAAAAATTTCAACGAAACCATTAAGGGATCTGCCCGTGTATCGGGGGAAAGAACCTGCTCCTTCAAAACCTTTTTTCAAGTTCAGGACACAAGAAAAAGGTTTCAAGGCGAAACACGAAACTTTTATGGCTTCGTATTAAACTCCACAAGACCATTGAAGTTTAATACGAAACTATCAGGGTTTCATATGAAACTCTAAAGGTTTCGGATTTTACTACAAAACCTTTTTCTTGTGTTCTGAACTTAAAAAAAGGTTTCGAAGGAGAAGGTTCTTTCCCCCGATACACGAGAAGATCCTTCAGCGGTTTCGTAGAAATTTTTATTGTATTTTTCAAACTTTCAACATGTTTGGAGGCTTTTTCGTAACGTCGAAACTTTTTTTAGGGGTTTAGTAGAGCACCAATTCTATTTAGAGTGTAAATGCCGGCGTAGAAAGTGTTTTACAAATGATTCAGTATTAGGGCCGTTTTATCGATATACGGTTCACCGTCCTTTTTACTCTTTTTGCGTAGATGCAAACGGCATTACTAAGTGTGGCTGTTAGTGTGGGTGTGTCGGTGTGCGTGTGAATGACTGTGGAAGTTCATGACGAATGAACCATTCACTAAAGCCATCGCCTTCGATCTG